ATCTAGACACTGATGTTGTCGTAACCATCGTGTACAAGGAATCCAGACACTGATGTTGTCATGACCATCGTGTACAAGGAACTGACCATCATGTACAAGGAATCTAGACACTGATGTTGTCATGACCATCGTGTACAAGGAATCTAGACACTGATGTTGTCGTGACCATCGTGTACAAGGAATCCAGACACTGATGTTGTCGTGACCATCGTGTACAAGGAATCCAGACACTGATGTTGTCGTGACCATCGTGTACAAGGAATCCAGACACTGATGTTGTCGTGACCATCGTGTACAAGGAATCCAGACACTGATGTTGTCATGACCATCGTGTACAAGGAATCCAGACACTGATGTTGTCGTGACCATAATGTACAAGGAACTGACCATCATGTACAAGGAATCTAGACACTGATGTTGTCGTAACCATGTTGTACAAGGAACTGACCATCATGTACAAGGAATCTAGACACTGATGTTGTCGTAACCATTGTGTACAAGGAATCTAGACACTGATGTTGTCGTAACCATGTTGTACAAGGAACTGACCATCATGTACAAGGAATCTAGACACTGATGTTGTCGTAACCATTGTGTACAAGGAATCTAGACACTGATGTTGTCGTAACCATGTTGTACAAGGAACTGACCATCATGTACAAGGAATCTAGACACTGATGTTGTCGTAACCATTGTGTACAAGGAATCTAGACACTGATGTTGTCGTGACCATCGTGTACAAGATCACTTTCAATAAGGGTATGCTCAATAAAGCTTGTTTCTGAGAAGCAACATACCTATCCACAATATTCAACTGATCTGTTTTAGGACGAAAAGTGAAATGATGATCAATCAAAGTTACAAAATGAGATCCTTGAGATTAATCAACATCCATCTTAAACAGTACATGAAATGTCACAAACTAACATGGGAAGATTCCTTCACCGGGTCCATTAACATGAGTGACATCCCTCCCCCCACCCCCAACCCTACCATTTGTAGATCAACATCAGACACATCCTTAATCTGTAGATCAATATTAGAAATCTCCCCTAATCTGTAGATCAACATTAGACACATCCCCTAATCTGTAGATCAACATTAGACACATCCCCTAATATGTAGATCAACATCAGACACATCCCCTAATCTGTAGATCAACATCAGACACATCCCCTAATCTGTAGATCAATATTAGAAATCTCCCCTAATCTGTAGATCAACATTAGACACATCCCCTAATATGTAGATCAACATCAGACACATCCCCTAATCTGTAGATCAACATCAGACACATCCCCTAATCTGTAGATCAATATTAGAAATCTCCCCTAATCTGTAGATCAACATTAGACACATCCCCTAATCTGTAGATCAACATCAGACACATCCCCTAATCTTTAGATCAACATCAGACACATCTCCTAATCTGTAGATCAACATCAGACACATCCCCTAATCTGTAGATCAACATTAGACACATCCCCTAATCTGTAGATCAACATCAGACACATCCCTAATCTGTAGATCAACATCAGACACATCCCCTAATGTAGATCAACATCAGACACATCCCCTAATCTGTAGATCAACATCAGACACATCCCCTAATCTGTAGATCAACATCAGACACATCCCCTAATCTGTAGATCAACATTAGACACATCCCCTAATCTGTAGATCAACATCAGACACATCCCCTAATCTGTAGATCAACATCAGACACATCCCCTAATCTGTAGATCAACATCAGACACATCCCCTAATCTGTAGATCAACATCAGATCAAATCTGTAGATCAACATTAGACACATCCCCTAATCTGTAGATCAACATCAGATACATCCCCTAATCTGTAGATCAACATTAGACACATCCCCTAATCTGTAGATCAACATCAGACACATCCCCTAATCTGTAGATCAACATCAGACACATCCCCTAATATGTAGATCAACATCAGATACATCCCCTAATCTTAGATCAACATCAGATACATCCCCTAATATGTAGATCAACATTAGACACATCCCCTAATCTGTAGATCAATATTAGAAATCTCCCCTAATCTGTAGATCAACATTAGACACATCCCCTAATCTGTAGATCAACATTAGACACATCCCCTAATCTGTAGATCAACATCAGACACATCCCCTAATCTGTAGATCAACATCAGACACATCCCCTAATCTGTAGATCAACATCAGATACATCCCCTAATCTGTAGATCAACATCAGACACATCCCCTAATCTGTAGATCAACATCAGATACATCCCCTAATCTGTAGATCAATATTAGAAATCTCCCCTAATCTGTAGATCAACATCAGACACATCCCCTAATCTGTAGATCAACATCAGATACATCCCCTAATATGTAGATCAACATTAGACACATCCCCTAATCTGTAGATCAATATTAGAAATCTCCCCTAATCTGTAGATCAACATCAGACACATCCCCTAATCTGTAGATCAACATCAGACACATCCCCTAATCTGTAGATCAACATCAGATACATCCCCTAATCTGTAGATCAACATCAGATACATCCCCTAATATGTAGATCAATATTAGAAATCTCCCCTAATCTGTAGATCAACATTAGACACATCCCCTAATCTGTAGATCAACATCAGATACATCCCCTAATCTGTAGATCAACATCAGACACATCCCCTAATCTGTAGATCAACATCAGATACATCCCCTAATCTGTAGATCAACATCAGATACATCCCCTAATATGTAGATCAACATTAGACACATCCCCTAATCTGTAGATCAACATTAGACACATCCCCTAATCTGTAGATCAACATTAGACACATCCCCTAATCTGTAGATCAACATCAGACACATACCCTAATCTGTAGATCAACATCAGATACATCCCCTAATCTGTAGATCAACATCAGATACATCCCCTAATCTGTAGATCAACATCAGACACATCCCTTAATATGTAGATCAACATCAGACACATCCCCTAATCTGTAGATCAACATTATACACATCCCCTAATCTGTAGATCAACATCAGACACATCCCCTAATCTGTAGATCAACATTATACACATCCCCTAATCTGTAGATCAACATTAGACACATCCCCTAATCTGTAGATCAACATTAGACACATCCCCTAATCTGTAGATCAACATTAGACACATCCCCTAATCTGTAGATCAACATCAGATACATCCCCTAATCTGTAGATCAACATCAGACACATCCCCTAATATGTAGATCAACATCAGATACATCCCCTAATCTGTAGATCAACATCAGATACATCCCCTAATATGTAGATCAACATCAGATACATCCCCTAATCTGTAGATCAACATCAGATACATCCCCTAATATGTAGATCAACATCAGATACATCCCCTAATCTGTAGATCAACATCAGATACATCCCCTAATCTGTAGATCAACATCAGATACATCCCCTAATCTGTAGATCAACATCAGATACATCCCCTAATATGTAGATCAACATGAAACCTCAACCCGTCTGTCAAGTAACATCAGAATGTCTAGTAACATCAGAAGTTTACCTCTGTCTGTCTAGTAACATCAGAAGTCTTCCTCTGTCTGTCTAGTAACATCAGAAGTTTACCTCTGTCTGTCTAGTAACATCAGAAACCTTTTTCTATCTGTCTAGTAACATCAGAAGTTTACCTCTGTCTGTCTAGTAACATCAGAAGTCTTCCTCTGTCTGTCTAGTAACATCAGAAGTCTTCCTCTGTCTGTCTAGAAACATCAGAAGTCTTCCTCTGTCTGTCTTGTAACATCAGAAGTCTTCCTCTGTCTGTCTAGAAACATCAGAAGTCTTCCTCTGTCTGTCTAGAAACATCAGAAGTCTACCTCTGTCTGTCTTGTAACATCAGAAGTCTTCCTCTGTCTGTCTAGAAACATCAGAAGTCTTCCTCTGTCTGTCTTGTAACATCAGAAGTCTTCCTCTGTCTGTCTAGAAACATCAGAAGTCTTCCTCTGTCTGTCTAGAAACATCAGAAGTCTACCTCTGTCTGTCTTGTAACATCAGAAGTCTTCCTCTGTCTGTCTAGAAACATCAGAAGTCTTCCTCTGTCTGTCTAGAAACATCAGAAGTCTTCCTCTGTCTGTCTTGTAACATCAGAAGTCTTCCTCTGTCTGTCTAGAAACATCAGAAGTCTACCTCCTCTGTCTGTCTTGTAACATCAGAAGTCTTCCTCTGTCTGTCTAGAAACATCAGAAGTCTTCCTCTGTCTGTCTTGTAACATCAGAAGTCTTCCTCTGTCTGTCTAGAAACATCAGAAGTCTTCCTCTGTCTGTCTAGAAACATCAGAAGTCTACCTCTGTCTGTCTTGTAACATCAGAAGTCTTCCTCTGTCTGTCTAGAAACATCAGAAGTCTTCCTCTGTCTGTCTAGAAACATCAGAAGTCTTCCTCTGTCTGTCTTGTAACATCAGAAGTCTTCCTCTGTCTGTCTAGAAACATCAGAAGTCTTCCTCTGTCTGTCTAGTAACATCAGAAGTCTTCCTCTGTCTGTCTAGTAACATCAGAAGTCTACCTCTGTCTGTCTTGTAACATTGGAAGTCTACCTCTGTCTGTCTAGAAACATCAGAAGTCTACCTCTGTCTAATAACATCAGAAGTTTACCTCTGTCTGTCTAGTAACATTGGAAGTCTACCTCTGTCTGTCTAGTAACATTGGAAGTCTACCTCTGTCTGTCTGGTAACATCAGAAGTCATCCTCTGCCTGTCTAGTAACATCTGTCAAGTAACATCAGAAGTCTACCTCTGTCTGTCAAGTAACATCAGAAGTCTACCTTTGTCTGTCTAGAAACATCAGAAGTCTACCTCCTCTGTCTGTCTAGTAACATCAGAAGTCTACCTCCTCTGTCTGTCTAGAAACATCAGAAGTCTTCCTCCATTTGTCTAGTAACATCAGAAGTCTTCCTTTGTCTGTTTAGTAACATCAGAAGTCTTCCTCTGTCTTTCAATCCACTTTAGAATCCTTCGTCTGCTGGTTTATCACACATTGGGTTTTCATACCGAGATGTTGGACTCACAAACAGAGGGTTATCATCCTGAAAAATGTAGTTGTATATGTATTACATTCTTAATTACCCAAGTTAATCAAGATCTAGATCAAGTGAAAGATACAGTTCAATGTTTAGATATTTATTAACATAAACTTAACATGGTTTCAAGGACACTTCCACCATTTGTATTTAATCCCTTTCACCCAAGGACCATTTTGTTCAATTTTTGGCAATATACTGTCATGCCGTCAGTAGTAGAAAAAGTTCACCCAAGGACCATTTTGTTCAATTTTTGGCAATATACTGTCATTCCGTCAGTAGTAGAAAAAGTTCACTCCTGGAGCCTTTTGTTCAATTTTTGGCAATATACTGTCATTCCGTCAGTAGCAGAAAAAGTTCACCCAAGGACCATTTTGTTCAAATTTTGGCAATATACTGTCATTCCGTCAGCAGTAGAAAAAGTTCACCCGAGGACCATTTTGTTCAATTTTTGGCAATATACTGTCATTCCGTCAGTAGTAGAAAAAGTTCACCCCTGGAGCCTTTTGATCAATTTTTGGCATTACCCTGTCATTCCGTCAGTAGTAGAAAAAGTTCACCCAAGGACCATTTTGTTCAATTTTTGGCATTATACTGTCATTCCGTCAGTAGTAGAAAAAGTTCACCCAAGGACCATTTTGTTCAATTTTTGGCAATATACTGTCATTCCATCAGTAGTAGAAAAAGTTCACCCCTGGAGCCTTTTGATCAAATTTTGGCATTACCCTGTCATTCCGTCAGTAGTAGAAAAAGTTCACCAAAGGACCATTTTGTTCAATTTTTGGCAATATACTGTCATTCCGTCAGTAGTAGAAAAAGTTCACCCCTGGAGCCTTTTGATCAATTTTTGGCATTACCCTGTCATTCCGTCAGTAGTAGAAAAAGTTCACCCCTGGAGCCTTTTGATCAATTTTTGGCATTACCCTGTCATTCCGTCAGTAGTAGAAAAAGTTCACCCAAGGACCATTTTGTTCAATTTTTGGCATTATACTGTCATTCCGTCAGTAGTAGAAAAAGTTCACCCAAGGACCATTTTGTTCAATTTTTGGCAATATACTGTCATTCCGTCAGTAGTAGAAAAAGTTCACCCCTGGAGCCTTTTGATCAAATTTTGGCATTACCCTGTCATTCCGTCAGTAGTAGAAAAAGTTCACCCAAGGACCATTTTGTTCAATTTTTGGCAATATACTGTCCTTCCGTCAGTAGTAGAAAAAGTTCACCCCTGGAGCCTTTTGATCAATTTTTGGCATTACCCTGTCATTCCGTCAGTAGTAGAAAAAGTTCACCCCTGGAGCCTTTTGATCAATTTTTGGCATTACCCTGTCATTCCGTCAGTAGTAGAAAAAGTTCACTCAAGGACCATTTTGTTCAAATTTTGGCAATATACTGTCATTCCGTCAGTAGTAGAAAAAGTTCACCCCTGGAGCCTTTTGATCAATTTTTGGCATTACCCTGTCATTCCGTCAGTAGTAGAAAAAGTTCACCCAAGGACCATTTTGTTCAATTTTTGGCATGATACTGTCATTCCGTCAGTAGTAGAAAAAGTTCACCCAAGGACCATTTTGTTCAATTTTTGGCAATATACTGTCATTCCGTCAGTAGTAGAAAAAGTTCACCCTTGGAGCCTTTTGATCAATTTTTGGCATTACCATGTCATTCCGTCAGTAGTAGAAAAAGTTCACCCCTGGAGCATTTTGATCAATTTTTGGCATTACCCTGTCATTCCGTCAGTAGTAGAAAAAGTTCACCCAAGGACCATTTTGTTCAATTTTTGGCATGATACTGTCATTCCGTCAGTAGTAGAAAAAGTTCACCCAAGGACCATTTTGTTCAATTTTTGGCATTATACTGTCATTCCGTCAGTAGTAGAAAAAGTTCACCCAAGGACCATTTTGTTCAATTTTTGGCAATATACTGTCATTCCGTCAGTACTAGAAAAAGTTCACCCAAGGACCATTTTGTTCAATTTTTGGCAATATACTGTCATTCCGTCAGTAGTAGAAAAAGTTCACCCAAAGACCATTTTGTTCAAATTTTGGAAATATATTGTCATTCCGTCAGTAGTAGAAAAAGTTCACCCCTGGAGCCTTTTGATCAAATTTTGGCATTACCCTGTCATACCGTCAGTAGTAGAAAAAGTTCACCCCTGGAGCCTTTTGATCAAATTTTGGCATTACCCTGTCATTCCGTCAGTAGTAGAAAAAGTTCACCCCTGGAGCCTTTTGATCAAATTTTGGCATTACCCTGTCATTCCGTCAGTAGTAGAAAAAGTTCACCCCTGGAGCCTTTTGATCAAATTTTGGCATTACCCTGTCATTCCGTCAGTAGTAGAAAAAGTTCACCCAAGGACCATTTTGTTCAATTTTTGGCAATATACTGTCCTTCCGTCAGTAGTAGAAAAAGTTCACCCCTGGAGCCTTTTGATCATTTTTTGGCATTACCCTGTCATTCCGTCAGTAGTAGAAAAAGTTCACCTCTGGAGCCTTTTGATCAATTTTTGGCATTACCCTGTCATTCCGTCAGTAGTAGAAAAAGTTCACCCAAGGAACATTTTGTTCAATTTTTGGCAATATACTGTCATTCCGTCAGTAGTAGAAAAAGTTCACCCAAGGACCATTTTGTTAAAATTTTGGAAATATATTGTCATTCCGTCAGTAGTAGAAAAAGTTCACCCCTGGAGCCTTTTGATCAAATTTTGGCATTACCCTGTCATTCCGCCAGTAGAAGAAAAAGTTCACCCCTGGAGCCTTTTGATCAAATTTTGGCATTACCCTGTCATTCCGCCAGTAGAAGAAAAAGTTCACCCCTGGAGCCTTTTGATCAAATTTTGGCATTACCCTGTCATTCCGCCAGTAGAAGAAAAAGTTCACCCCTGGAGCCTTTTGATCAAATTTTGGCATTACCCTGTCATTCCGCCAGTAGAAGAAAAAGTTCACCCCTGGAGCCTTTTGATCAAATTTTGGCACTACCCTGTCATTCCGCCAGTAGAAGAAAAAGTTCACCCCTGGAGCCTTTTGATCAAATTTTGGCATTACCCTGTCATTCCGCCAGTAGAAGAAAAAGTTCACCCCTGGAGCCTTTTGATCAAATTTTGGCATTACCCTGTCATTCCGCCAGTAGAAGAAAAAGTTCACCCCTGGAGCCTTTTGATCAAATTTTGGCATTACCCTGTCATTCCGTCATTAGTAGAAAAAATTCACCAATATAACCAAATTTTCCCTTTTTTGTCATGCAGCCCTTAGCCCCCTGGACAAGGTAAGCTTAATAGTGAACCTGATACATAACACACAAGAGATATTAGTATTTTGTAAGAAAACTTTGATATACATGAATCTAACTTACAAAGCCCCATTTTGGATTTTTAATTTCTTCTTCAAACTTTGAGTATTCAATGCCGTCATAGAAGTATGCAAACAGTCTCCATAGTATGAGGAGAATGAGAGCCACGAGAAATACCGCTGCTGAGATACTGATGGCAAGGATCAGGACATTAGCTGGCTTGGGTGGACATGCTGTAACAGATATCAAACAATATCAGGTATCAGACAGACATAAATAAAATATCAGTCAACAGATGGATTCAATGAATTATCAGACAACTGACATTGATTAATTTATTGATTGTTAATTTGAGAAACATTATCAGACAACAGACAGACATGTTTTCAGTAGTCGACACTTTAGGAAACATTATCAGACAACAGACAGACATGTTTTCAGTAGTCGATACTTTAGGAAACATCATCAGACAACAGACAGACATGTATACAGTGAGAGCATGATCAGACAACAGACAGACATGTTTTCAGTCGTGGATACTTTAGGAAACATTATCGGACAACAGACAGACATGTACACAATGGGAATATGATCACACAACAAACAGACATGTATACAGTGGGAACATTATCAGACAACAGACAGACATGTTTTTAGTAGTCGATATTTTAGGAAACTTTATCAGACAACAGACAGACATGTATACAGTGAGAGCATGATCAGGCAACAGACAGACATGTATACAGTGGGGACATAATCAGATTACAAACAGATATGATTACAGTGGCAAACAGTATTGGACAACAGACAGACATGTATACTATAGGAAACATTATCAGACAACAGACAGACATGTTTACAGTAGGAAACATCAGACAACAGACAGACATGTATACTATTGGAAACATTATCAGACAACAGACAGACATGTTTACAGTAGGAAACATCAGACAACAGACAGACATGTATACAGTTGGAACATTATCAGACAACAGACAGCCATGTATATTAACTGGTGTATGTCTAGGTTTTAGAGAATAAATGTCATTTACTGACCTGAAGTATCTTTGACAAACACAACCTGTTCACTGTCCAGGTTGTGAAGAATAAACATATACAAACCTGTAGTATCTTTGACAAACACCACCCGTTCACCATCCAGATTATGAAGAATAAACGACATCAAACAGTTATCAGATCCTTTGAATTTACATGTCTGGGAATCATTTCTTCTCACAGCTGTAATATAAACCATTATCAGTGTTAACATGGCGTCGCATGGGGGATGATTTTGCATCACTTTTGCTTTACCTTATTTATGCATAAGTTTTGCAGAAATCATTGTGGCAGATTATGAACCCCATCTAAGACTTGTTCGGTCTATTTAAATGATAAATTGTTAACTAAATAACAAATGTTGTTTACTATAATAAACGGCCATATTTAATTCACTTCTTTCAGTTTTAATGTTATTTATACAGGCTGACTGTGATTATGTATAAGGATTAAATTATTTGCGGAAGGAGGTAATTTAGGGTTGGAGCAAGGTGGTCCAAATAATTTGGGTTGCTATTTTTAGACTGCTATAAATATAAATAATGCAGCATTTTCTATTCAGAAGCTGACAGCTGAACATGGTGGAACAAGGTTCGTACGGTCAAGGCCAGTTTATTTAATTCATATTAGTCTAGTTATATCATCGGAAGACAAAACATTTTTCATATATTTTTAGCCCACCACCATCCCCTACTTTCCTCCATTCCTTTTTTGAGTTTTTATCTCTTGTTTATTGTTCTTTCAAGGCCTGTTAAATTTGTCAGGCTTGGTTGATGAGATTTTTTCATTAGTTTCAATTTTACATCAAATGTGTATGTGAAGTATCCTTCCTCAACTTGTTCCAAGCATTTTTATGCTCATGTACTCGTCACATCCACTCTTTTATGTTTTTATACTTTCACACATACATTACCTAAGCTTGAGTTGTTGATTATGTTACTGGACTTGTACCACCAATAATTCACATTTTATGTTATCTTTCCTACCTAGGAGTATAGCATCCAGGTATGTCATGTACCTTTTATATGCTGGAAATCTTTCCTTCTTTAAGTTTTCATATATGATAATTTTGGAAGATGTTTGTTTTCTTAACTGGAACAGTACTATCTTATGTTTATGTATGATGTGGTGGCAGATTATGAACCCCATCTAAGACTTGTTCTGTCTATTTAAATGATAAATTGTTAACTAAATAACGAATGTTATTTATTATAATAAACAGCCATATTCAATTCACATCTTGTGTTCTAGTTGTTATTTCTATGACTGTCTTACTAGCTTGCCATAGTGGAGGTCCGGTATAAAAACCATTATCAGTGTTAAAGAATGGTCATGTTCTACAGAAACCCAGCTTCTCACAGCTGGAATATAAACCATTATCAGTGTTTAAAGAATGGTCATGTTCTACAGAAACCCAGCCTCTCACAGCTGGAATATAAACCAATGTCAGTTTTAAGAATGGTCATGTTCTACAGGTCAAAGGTCACAATGTAAGGCAGAGTGACCTACTTTGAGACTTTACACATTGCTTGACCAAGGTAAACCCATACCTCAAGTATGGAGTTCTAGTGACCATTAAGGTAGGAGATTAAGCCACGATAAGCTTTCATTTTGATATAGGTCAAGGGTCAAATTTTGTAGGTCAGAGTGAAACCTACATTTGATCCATGACACAATGCCTGACCATGATGAACTCATACCTCAAGTTTTAAGTTTAAAAGACTATTAGTGCAGAAGATAGAGCCTGGACAACTTCTATTTTTCTGCTGGTCAAAGGTCAAACTTTGTAGATCAGAGCGACCTCCTTTTGATACATGACACACTGCTACACTTACAGAAACCCATACTCAAAGTGTGATGTTCTAATGACAAGAAGTGTAGTCCAGACAAGGGACAGATGGACAAAAGGACAGATGAACACAATGCAAATTTATAGTCCCCTCCCCCAAGTACCTAATGGTTGATTAATAAACATTTACAACATGAATCGGTGTGGTCTAGGTCACTGACCAGTGTGACATGTTACTTACAGTCTAGGTCACTGACCAGTGTGACATGTTACTTACAGTCACTGACCAGTGTGACATGTTACTTACAGTCTAGGCCACTGACCAGTGTGACATGTAACTTACTGTCACTGACCAGTGTGACATGTTACTTACAGTCTGGGTCACTGACCAGTGTGACATGTAACTTACAGTCACTGACCAGTGTGACATGTTACTTACAGTCTAGGTCACTGACCAGTGTGACATGTTACTTACAGTCTAGGTCACTGACCAGTGTGACATGTTACTTACAGTCACTGACCAGTGTGACATGTTACTTACAGTCTAGGCCACTGACCAGTGTGACATGTTACTTACAGTCACTGACCAGTGTGACATGTTACTTACAGTCTAGGTCACTGACCAGTGTGACATGTTGGCAGTTTTGTTCACATTCCTCCTGAGACATGTCACCAGATTTTCCATCCTTCTTCAGTGTACACATGGCACAAGCTCTGTTTGATTCACAGAGGCCCTCAGTACAAGTCTTAAACATATCAAAACAATAGAATATTTTACTTATAAACCAAACATCATGACTCTCAGCTATGGTTAATCTGAAGAAGTTGTTTGAATGTTTTAACCAATCCGACTTTTGACCTCGTGTATGGGACAAGGTCATTTCTTTTCGCAAACCCTTTTGGACTTTATACCAGGAATCTACCAGCCCATTATCTGTTTCTAGAACTTTTTGCTGATGAGAAAATACTGTTTGAAGCTTAAATTCAGTTTAACCCCAATGACTTTGAATATTGGTTAAGGTTATTACTTTTTCGCAAACTCTGTTAGGATTATTCCAAGGAGCCTATCAGCAATATATCATGATTTGTTTTTACTTGATTTGGAGACCTCATTTTGAAATGGAACTTACCTGACACTGCTCACACATGACTCCACTATATGAAGAATTACAACGGCACTCTCCACATACACACTCACCATGGTCAGAGCAAACTGTCTGAAATGTTAAAAGAGGCAACAGCTCATAACATCATTGCTTTTATAGAACAAAATTACACTTATATCCAACAGCAGGGCTATAAGATAAATATAAATCTGAGGTTTTTAGGCTAAACGTATCCAGTACGTGTAGCCTATTGCGACGGCCTTTCAGACAAAATTTACCGATCCTGGCCTTCTCATTGGCTGAAATATCGAAAAGAGTTAGAGCCCTCTAGCGGCAATTTTCTGCATAAATAATGCCGCGATCTTTCAAATCGCTATTTTAAAAGCATCCAAAATTAGTTTATTTTTTTTAATAACAATACGATTACTATATATTTAAAAAAAGAAGCACAGTGTGGTTGAACTATTGATAAATTTTGAACAATATAATTTACGGAATTCTCGACATTACGTAAGCGTACAGAACAGTGTACCTGCGAGTTGATAAGCTAGTCTGGGGGCTTGGTTTGAATTATCAACTAACAGCACTGATAAACAAACAAAACTTACAAACAGAACATCAATTTTGTTTTAATCCTTGTCGTTGTGGCAAGATCGTCTTAATATATAACATCATTTTACCTCAGTAGACGTCACCGAATTGGACTGTTTGTCCCACACGCACACCCGCCGATATGACAATTATTTCAGGTTTTTCACACCCACCGCCATGACACATTTTCAAGTTTTTTGAAGATAAAAAGTTTGCGCTTCGTAGGCAAGGTACATTTGGTGCTCATGATTTATGAATAATATATTTTTAATACTGTATTGATCATGATGTTGACTTTGTTATAACCTATATTTTTTGTCTTTTAGTTTTATTTGATGAAGGTTGATTGTGCTGATTTCTCAAGGATTGTTAATGTGTATCAAAGTTCCTTGAAATGAAAATATTCCTTCAAACAAAGCGCGTATAAAAAAAACCCCAAAATATTCATGTTTATAATTATCAATTAACTAGAACGAAATATTTCCATAACATATTTATTCATTTAGCGTGTCATGGTGACATTATCTAATGCATTGGAGATCAAAAATAGCAGTAGCTATAGCGAAAATATTGTAAATTTTGTATATATATATGGAAGTCTGGTTTAATTTCAAAGAACTATGTCTTTATAGACATAATTACTGGAAGAAAACTCTAACCATGAAACTTCAAGGAAGATAGCCATGTAAATACATTTAATGTAATTACTTACCTCATACTCAATGTGCTTGTTACCTGTTAAGAACCGTTAATTATCCAATTAGCCAAGCCTTTCATGCTTGTTAAGTCAGGTACCCGAGTGAATTTGTTTACGTAAGGTAATTAAATATGTTAGGGTCACGATAATTGTGGTTTCCTATTTATCAATGGATCAAACCACAACTGTTTCATCGCGGTAACCAGTAATCAATTAATCTTTCTGTAGAATTTTTTTTTTAATCTGACCCCAAAAAAGTACCTGCGCACTATACCCGAGCGCGCACTATACCCGCAAATTTATGGTGCACTTTAATCTATCTGAAATGTTGTGTACACCTTATCTACTTTACTCAAGTACAAATATAATCATGATAAGTAAGGACTATTACTTTGCAATATATTCAAAATAAAGAAGTAGGTATAAAGTCCTTTCGATTTGTTTAAATCCTCATATTGATAGGAGAGTAATTGTAACATCTTGGGTATTTCAAAGGTTTTATTTAGTCAACTTCATCATAGAGCTATTTATCATTTGGCTTGTTGGCGATATATATATGGTTGTGTGTATTTTATTTTATTTTATTTTTTTTTACCTATTTTGATTTGTTCACATTATTGTTGTCAAATTTGAAATAAGAATTAAAGAAGATATAAAATCGCTTAAAATTAAGAAAAATAGCCTCTGGTTCTCTTATTTTAGTAATTTTTGAATTCCAAAGTGTAGGAGTATGGTGAAAGTAATATAGCTTTGCGGTTATTTGTGAACATTTTTCAATACGTTTAGCCTCTCAGTACTTTCAGTACTATGATTACCTTCTGTTAGGAAACTGAGAAATGGACCAGTCTGTGCTATTGAGACTGTGTCCATAGACAAGACACTTTACCTATACTTACAGCTGGTGGTAAATAGGGGACATATGTAGTCTTACCTCATTATACTCACAGATGGTGGTAGACAGGGGACATATGTAGACTTACCCCATTATACTCACAGATGGTAGTAGACAGGGGACTCCATTATACTCACAGCTTGTGGTAGACAGGGGACATATGTAGACTTACCTCATTACACTCACAGCTTGTGGTAGACAGGGGACATATGTAGACTTACCTCATTACACTCACAGCTGGTGGTAGACGGGGGACATATGTAGTCTTACCTCATTATACTCACAGATGGTGGTAGACAGGGGACCCCATTACACTCACAGATGGTGGTAGACAGGGGACATATGTAGACTTGCCCCATTATTCTCACAGATGGTGGTAGACAGGGGACTCCATTATACTCACAGCTTGTGGTAGACAGGGGACATGTGTAGTCTTACTCCATTATACTCACAGCTGGTGGTAGACAGGGGACTCCATTATACTCACAGCTGGTGTTAGACAGGGGACATATGTAGACTTACCCCATTTTACTCACAGATGGTGGTAGACAGGGGACTCCATTATACTCACAGCTGGTGGTAGACAGGGGACTCCATTATACTCACAGCTGGTGATAGACAGAGGACATATTCAGACTTACCCCATTATACTCACAGATGGTGGTAGACAGGGGACTCCATTATACTCACAACTGGTGGTAGACAGGGGACATGTGTAGTCTTACCCCATTATACTCACAGCTGGAGGTAGACAGGGGACCCCATTATACTCACAGATGGTAGTAGAGAGGAGACCCCATTATACTCACAGCTGGTGGTAGACAGGGGATCCCATTATACTCACAGCTGGTGGTAGACAGTTGACCCCATTATACTCACAGCTGGTGGTAGACAGGGAACCCCATTATACTCACAGCTGGTGGCAGACATAGGACATATTCAGACTTACCCCATTATACTCACAGATGGTGGTAGACAGGGAACTCCATTATACTCACAACTGGTGGTAGACAGGGGGCATGTGTAGTCTTACCCCATTATACTCACAGCTGGAGGTAGACAGGGGACCCCATTATACTCACAGATGGTAGTAGAGAGGAGACCCCATTATACTCACAGCTGGTGGTAGACAGGGAACCCCATTATACTCACAGCTGGTGGCAGACAGTTGACCCCATTATACTCACAGCTGGTGGTAGACAGGGGACTCCATTATACTCACAGCTGGTGTTAGACAGGGGACATATGTAGACTTACCCCATTTTACTCACAGATGGTGGTAGACAGGGGACTCCATTATACTCACAGCTGGTGGTAGACAGGGGACTCCATTATACTCACAGCTGGTGGTAGACAGAGGACATATTCAGACTTACCCCATTATACTCACAGATGGTGGTAGACAGGGGACTCCATTATACTCACAACTGGTGGTAGACAGGGGACATGTGTAGTCTTACCCCATTATACTCACAGCTGGAGGTAGACAGGGGACCCCATTATACTCACAGATGGTAGTAGGGAGGAGACCCCATTATACTCACAGCTTGTGGTAGACAGGGGATCCCATTATACTCACAGCTGGTGGTAGACAGTTGACCCCATTATACTCACAGCTGGTGGTAGACAGGGAACCCCATTATACTCACAGCTGGTGGCAGACATAGGACATATTCAGACTTACCCCATTATACTCACAGATGGTGGTAGACAGGGAACTCCATTATACTCACAACTGGTGGTAGACAGGGGGCATGTGTAGTCTTACCCCATTATACTCACAGCTGGAGGTAGACAGGGGACCCCATTATACTCACAGATGGTAGTAGAGAGGAGACCCCATTATACTCACAGCTGGTGGTAGACAGGGAACCCCATTATACTCACAGCTGGTGGCAGACAGTTGACCCCATTATACTCACAGCTGGTGGTAGACAGGGAACCCCATTATACTCACAGCTGGTGGTAGACAGGGAACCCCATTATACTCACAGCTGGTGGTAGACAGTTGACCCCATTATACTCACAGCTGGTGGTAGACAGTTGACCCCATTATACTCACAGCTGGTGGTAGACAGGGAACCCCATTATACTCACAGCTGGTGGCAGACAGTTGACCCCATTATACTCACAGTTGGTGGTACACAGGGAACCCCATTATACTCACAGCTGGTGGTAGACAGGGGACATGTGTAGACTTACCTCATTACACTCACAGTTGGTGTTAAACAGGGGACATGTGTAGTCTACCCCATTATACTCACAGCTGGTGGTAGACAGGGAACCCCATTATACTCACAGCTGGTGGTAGACAGGGGACCCCATTATACTCACAGCTGGTGGTAGACAGGGGACTCCATTATACTCACAGCTGGTGGTAGACAGAGGACATATTCAGACTTACCCCATTATACTCACAGATGGTGGTAGACAGGGGACTCCATTATACTCACAACTGGTGGTAGACAGGGGACATGTGTAGTCTTACTCCATTATACTCACAGCTGGTGGTAGACAGGGGCCTCCATTATACTCACAGCTGGTGTTAGACAGGGGACATATGTAGACTTACCCCATTATACTCACAGATGGTGGTAGACAGGGGACTCCATTATACTCACAGCTGGTGGTAGACAGGGGACTCCATTATACTCACAGCTGGTGGTAGACAGAGGACATATTCAGACTTACCCCATTATACTCACAGATGGTGGTAGACAGGGGACTCCATTATACTCACAACTGGTGGTAGACAGGGGACATGTGTAGTCTTACCCCATTATACTCACAGCTGGAGGTAGACAGGGGACCCCATTATACTCACAGATGGTAGTAGGGAGGAGACCCCATTATACTCACAGCTGGTGGTAGACAGGGGATCCCATTATACTCACAGCTGGTGGTAGACAGTTGACCCCATTATACTCACAGCTGGTGGTAGACAGGGAACCCCATTATACTCACAGCTGGTGGCAGACATAGGACATATTCAGACTTACCCCATTATACTCACAGATGGTGGTAGACAGGGAACTCCATTATACTCACAACTGGTGGTAGACAGGGGACATGTGTAGTCTTACCCCATTATACTCACAGCTGGAGGTAGACAGGGGACCCCATTATACTCACAGATGGTAGTAGAGAGGAGACCCCATTATACTCACAGCTGGTGGTAGACAGGGGATCCCATTATACTCACAGCTGGTGGTAGACAGTTGACCCCATTATACTCACAGCTGGTGGTAGACAGGGAACCCCATTATACTCACAGCTGGTGGCAGACAGTTGACCCCATTATACTCACAGCTGGTGGTAGACAGAGGACATATTCAGACTTACCCCATTATACTCACAGATGGTGGCAGACAGGGGACTCCATTATACTCACAACTGGTGGTAGACAGGGGACATGTGTAGTCTTACCCCATTATACTCACAGCTGGAGGTAGACAGGGGACCCCATTATACTCACAGATGGTAGTAGGGAGGAGACCCCATTATACTCACAGCTGGTGGTAGACAGGGGATCCCATTATACTCACAGCTGGTGGTAGACAGTTGACCCCATTATACTCACAGCTGGTGGTAGACAGGGAACCCCATTATACTCACAGCTGGTGGCAGACATAGGACATATTCAGACTTACCCCATTATACTCACAGATGGTGGTAGACAGGGAACTCCATTATACTCACAACTGGTGGCAGACAGGGGACATGTGTAGTCTTACCCCATTATACTCACAGCTGGAGGTAGACAGGGGACCCCATTATACTCACAGATGGTAGTAGAGAGGAGACCCCATTATACTCACAGCTGGTGGTAGACAGGGGATCCCATTATACTCACAGCTGGTGGTAGACAGTTGACCCCATTATACTCACAGCTGGTGGTAGACAGGGAACCCCATTATACTCACAGCTGGTGGCAGACAGTTGACCCCATTATACTCACAGCTGGTGGTAGACAGGGTACCCCATTATACTCACAGCTGGTGGTAGACAGGGAACCCCATTATACTCACAGCTGGTGGTAGACAGGGAACCCCATTATACTCACAGCTGGTGGTAGACAGTTGACCCCATTATACTCACAGAACCCCAGGGAACCCCATTATACTCACAGCTGGTGGTAGACAGGGAACCCCATTATACTCACAGCTGGTGGTAGACAGTTGACCCCATTATACTCACAGCTGGTGGTAGACAGTTGACCCCATTATACTCACAGCTGGTGGTAGACAGGGAACCCCATTATACTCACAGCTGGTGGCAGACAGTTGACCCCATTATACTCACAGTTGGTGGTACACAGGGAACCCCATTATACTCACAGCTGGTGGTAGACAGGGGACATGTGTAGACTTACCTCATTACACTCACAGTTGGTGTTAAACAGGGGACATGTGTAGTCTACCCCATTATACTCACAGCTGGTGGTAGACAGGGAACCCCATTATACTCACAGCTGGTGGTAGACAGGGGACCCCATTATACTCACAGCTGGTGGTAGACCGGGGACATGTGTAGACTTACCTCATTACACTCACAGTTGGTGTTAAACAGGGGACCCCATTATACTCACAGCTGGTGGTAGACAGGGAACCCCATTATACTCACAGCTGGTGGTAGACAGGGGACCCCATTATACTCACAGCTGGTGGTAGACAGGGGACATATGTAGACTTACCCCATTATACTCCCAGCTGGTGGTAGACTGGGGACATAAGTAGACTTACTTCATTATACTCACAGCTGGTGGTAGACTGGGGACATAAGTAGACTTACCCCATTATACTCACAGCTGGTGGTAGACAGGGTACAATCACACAGCTTCCCTGTAAACCCTTCATTACAGTGACATTCTTCACAATCACATTCACCATTACCTGAAAACAAACACAGTTAGGAATAAAAATGATTCCTTCAGTATTCTCAATTTATCATCAGTCTGATTATGGTGTTGGTATTTTGATGATGAATATTGATTATGTCTGTAGGTGTCTGTACAATATGTCTGTACATTATGTTTGTAGGTGTGTGTACATTATGTCTGTAAGTGTCTGTACATTATGTCTGTAGGTGTGTGTACATAATGTCTGTAGGTGTCTGTACATTATGTCTGTAGGTGTGTGTACATAATGTCTGTAGGTGTCTGTACATTATGTCTGTAGGTGTCTGTACAATATGTCTGTATGTGTCTGTAAATTATGTCTGTACATTATGTCTGTAGCTGCCTGTACATTTTGTCTGTAGGTGTCTGTACATTATGTCTGTAGGTGTCTGTACATTATGTCTGTAGTGTCTGTACATTATGTCTGTAGGTGTCTGTACATTATGTCTGTAGGTGTCTGTACATTATGTCTGTAGATGTCTGTACATTATGTCTGTAGGTGTCTGTACATTATGTCTGTACATTATGTCTGTAGGCGTCTGTACATTATGTCTGTAGGTGTCTGTACATTATGTCTGTACATTATGTCTGTAGGTGTCTGTACATTATGTCTGTAGGTGTGTGTACATTATGTCTGTAGGTGTCTGTACATTATGTCTGTACATTATGTCTGTAGGCGTCTGTACATTATGTCTGTAGGTGTCTGTACATTATGTCTGTAGGTGTCTGTACATTATGTCTGTAGGTGTCTGTACATTATGTCTGTAGGTGTCTGTACATTATGTCTGTACATTATGTCTGTAGGCGTCTGTACATTATGTCTGTAGGTGTCTGTACATTATGTCTGTAGGTGTCTGTACATTATGTCTGTAGGTGTCTGTACATTATGTCTGTAGGTGTCTGTACATTATGTCTGTATCTGTAGGTGTCTGTCTGTACCTGTCATTCTGTCTGTACATTATGTCTGTAGGTGTCTGTACATTATGTCTGTAGGCGTCTGTACATTATGTCTGTATGTGTCTGTACATTATGTCTGTATGTGTCTGTACATTATGTCTGTACATTATGTCTGTAGGTGTCTGTACATTATGTCTGTAGGTGTCTGTACATTATGTCTGTAGGTGTCTGTACAATATGTCTGTATGTGTCTGTAAATTATGTCTGTACATTATGTCTGTAGCTGCCTGTACATTTTGTCTGTAGGTGTCTGTACATTATGTCTGTAGGTGTCTGTACATTATATCTGTAGGTGTCTGTACATTGTGTCTGTACATTATGTCTGTAGGCATCTGTACATTATGTCTGTAGGTGTCTGTACATTATGTCTGTATATTATATCTGTACATTATGTCTGTAGATGTCTGTACATTATGTCTGTAGGTGTCTGTACATTATGTCTGTACATTATGTCTGTAGGCGTCTGTACATTATGTCTGTAGGTGTCTGTACATTATGTCTGTAGGTGTCTGTACATTATGTCTGTAGGTGTCTGTACATTATGTCTGTAGGTGTCTGTACATTATGTCTGTAGGTGTCTGTACATTATGTCTGTAGGTGTCTGTACATTATGTCTGTAGGTGTCTGTACATTATGTCTGTACATTATGTCTGTAGGTGTCTGTACATTATGTCTGTACATTATGTCTGTAGGTGTCTGTACATTATGTCTGTAGGTGTCTGTACATTATGTCTGTAGGTGTCTGTCTGCATTCTGTCTGTACATTATGTCTGTAGGTGTCTGTACATTATGTCTGTAGGTGTCTGTACATTATGTCTGTACATTATGTACATGTAGGCATCTGTACATTATGTCTGTAGGTGTCTGTACATTATGTCTGTAGGCGTCTGTACATTATGTCTGTAGGTGTCTGTACATTATGTCTGTAGCTGCCTGTACATTTTGTCTGTACATTATGTCTGTAGGCGTCTGTACATTATGTCTGTAGGTGTCTGTACATTATGTCTGTACATTATGTCTGTAGGTGTCTGTACATTATGTCTGTAGGTGTCTGTACATTATGTCTGTAGGTGTCTGTACATAATGTCTGTAGGTGTCTGTGCATTATGTCTGTAGGTGTCTGTACATGATGTCTGTAGGAGTGTGTACATTATGTCTGTATGTGTCTGTACATTATGTCTGTAGGCGTCTGTACATTATGTCTGAAGGTGTCTGTACATAATGTCTGTAGGTGTCTGTACATTGTGTCTGTACATTATGTCTGTAGGGATCTGTACATTATGTCTGTAGGTGTCTGTACATTATGTCTGAAGCTGTCTGTACATTATGTCTGTAGGTGTCTGTACATTATGTCTGTAGGTGTGTGTACATCTGTAGGTGTCATTATGTCTGTAGGTGTCTGTACATTATGTCTGTAGTGTCTGTACTGTACATTATGTCTGTAGGTGTCTGTACATTATGTCTGTAGGTGTCTGTACATTATGTCTGTAGGTGTCTGTACATTATGTCTGTAGGTGTCTGTACATTATGTCTGTAGGTGTCTGTACATTATGTCTGTACATTATGTCTGTAGGCGTCTGTACATTATGTCTGTAGGTGTCTGTACATAATGTCTGTAGGTGTCTGTGCATTATGTCTGTAGGTGTCTGTACATTATGTCTGTAGGTGTCTGTACATTATGTCTGTATATTATTTCTGTAGGTGTCTGTACATTATGTCTGTAGGTGTCTGTACATTATGTTTGTAGGTGTGTGTACATAATGTCTGTAGGTGTCTGTACATTATGTCTGTAGGTGTCTGTACCTTATATCTGTAGGTGTCTGTACATTGTGTCTGTACATTATGTCTGTAGGCATCTGTACATTATGTCTGTAGGTGTCTGTACATTATGTCTGAAGCTGTCTGTACATTATGTCTGTAGGTGTCTGTACATTATGTCTGTACATTATGTAAATTAAGTAAGAAGATTTCTATACATTATGTCTGTAGGTGTCTGTACATTATGTCTGTAGGTGTCACATTATGTCTGTAGGTGTCTGTACATTATGTCTGTAGGCGTTTGTACATTATGTCTGTACATTATGTCTGTAGGCGTCTGTACATTATGTCTGTAGGTGTCTGTACATTATGTCTGTAGCTGCCTGTATATTTTGTCTGTAGGTGTCTGTACATTATGTCTGTAGGTGTCTGTACATTATGTCTGTAGGTGTCTGTACATTATATCTGTAGGTGTCTGTACATTATGTCTGTACATTATGTCTGTAGGCGTCTGTACATTATGTCTGTATGTGTCTGTACATTATGTCTGTATGTGTCTGTACATTATGTCTGTACATTATGTCTGTACATTATGTCTGTAGGCGTCTGTACATTATGTCTGTAGGTGTCTGTACATTATGTCTGTAGGTGTCTGTACATTATGTCTGTAGGTGTCTGTACATTATGTCTGTAGGTGTCTGTACATTATGTCTGTATATTATATCTGTACATTATGTCTGTAGGCGTCTGTACATTATGTCTGTAGGTGTCTGTACATTATGTCTGTAGGTGTCTGTACATTATGTCTGTAGGTGTCTGTACATTATGTCTGTACATTATGTCTGTAGGTGTCTGTACATTATGTCTGTAGGTGTCTGTACATTATGTCTGTAGGTGTCTGTACATTATGTCTGTAGGTGTCTGTACATTATGTCTGTAGGCATCTGTACATTATGTCTGTAGGTGTCTGTACATTATGTCTGAAGCTGTCTGTACATTATGTCTGAACATTATGTCTGAAGCTGTCTGTACATTATGTCTGTAGGTGTCTGTACATTATGTCTGTACATTATGTCTGTAGGCGTCTGTACATTATGTCTGTAGGTGTCTGTACATTATGTCTGTAGGTGTCTGTACATTATGTCTGTAGGTGTCTGTACATTATGTCTGTAGGCATCTGTACATTATGTCTGTAGGTGTCTGTACATTATGTCTGAAGCTGTCTGTACATTATGTCTGTAGGTGTCTGTACATTATGTCTGTATATTATATCTGTACATTATGTCTGTAGCTGTCTGTACATTATGTCTGTAGGTGTCTGTACATTATGTCTGTAAGTGTCTGTGCATTATGTCTGTAGCTGTCTGTACATTATGTCTGTAGGTGTGTGTACATAATGTCTGTAGGTGTCTGTACATTATGTCTGTAGGTGTGTGTACATAATGTCTGTAGGTGTCTGTACATTATGTCTGTACATTATGTCTGCAGGTGTCTGTACATTATGTCTGTAGGTGTCTGTACATTATGTCTGTAGGTGTCTGTACATTATGTCTGTAGCTGCCTGTACATTTTGTCTGTAGGTGTCTGTACATTATGTCTGTAGGTGTCTGTACATTATGTCTGTAGGTGTCTGTACATTATGTCTGTACATTATGTCTGTAGGTGTCTGCACATTATGTCTGTAGGTGTCTGTACATTATGTCTGTACATTATGTCTGTAGGTGTCTGTACATTATGTCTGTAGGTGTCTGCACATTATGTCTGTAGGTGATTACCTGAACAAGGGTTGCTTAGATCGCCACACTTTTTCCTGTTACACTCACAGAAATCTCCACTGTATTCTGGTTGATCACACTGGCACTGCCCACAGACACATCCCCCACGCCCACTACAGATTCTTGTGTCTAGTGTTGTGTTTCCACCACTTTGTAAAAAAGATTTGCGTGTAACAGATATATATCATTAAAATTCCTTGTGAGCTATATGTGATGATTTAACATTGAAGAAAACAGGTCAACATTTAGTGTACATATAAAGCTACATGTAACAACATCTAGTTCTACAAGTTGGTGAATTGAAAGGAAACAAAACATTTTGTATAAGATGATATGATCCATGTGTATACCTGGGTGAGCATGCCTCTATGTCAGTCTGTCGTTCGTCACATGAACAGTTATCTCCAGACCAGCCTTCATAGCATGTACACACCCCACACTCGAATGTCCCAAATCCATTACACTTGCTACTATTCTGCTCCTGTAAAACCATAACACATTTTCAAGTATTATTTCGGTATATTTTAGTGGATCTGCCTTATAAGTTGTCACCTAAAATCAAGAATTTTATTGATGTTTCATGGTAACATGGTAACACAACCAGTAGAAGGTAAGAGTGTGATGTTTTGTTGACTACATGGTCACCTTCATCTTATAACACAACCAGTAGAAGGTTAGAGTATGACGTTTCCATGACTACACGGTCACCTTCATCTTATAACACAACCAGTAGAAGGTTAGAGTGTGATGTTTCCATGACTACATGGTTGCCGTCACCAGACAATTGACCAGTGTGGAGCATACTAACACTGATGTATGTAATGTAAGAGAACTGACCACATTTATAGATTACAGATAAACAAGGAAATACAAAGCGAGGCATTATCCCCCACACCCAGCTGTTGGTGTCAAACCCAAATATGATATATATAGGAGCCACAAAGCGAGGCATTATCCCCCACACCCAGCTGTTGGTGTCAAACCCAAATATGATATATATAGGAGCCACAAAGCGAGGCATTATCCCCCACACCCAGCTGTTGGTGTCAAACCCAAATATGATATATATAGGAGCCACAAAGCGAGGCATTATCCCCCATATATCAAACCCAAATATGATATATATAGGAGCCACAAAGCGAGGCATTATCCCCATACCCAGCTGTTGGTGTCAAACCCAAATATGATATATATAGGAGCCACAAAGCGAGGCATTATCCCCATACCCAGCTGTTGGTGTAAAACCCAAATATGATATATATATAGGAGCCAAAAAGCGAGGCATTATCCCCCATACCCAGCTGTTGGTGTCAAACCCAAATATGATATATATAGGAGCCACAAAGCGAGGCATTATCCCCATACCCAGCTGTTGGTGTCAAACCCAAATATGATATATATAGGAGCCACAAAGCGAGGCATTATCCCCATACCCAGCTGTTGGTGTCAAACCCAAATATGATATATATAGGAGCCACAAAGCGAGGCATTATCCCCCATACCCAGCTGTTGGTGTCAAACCCAAATATGATATATATAGGAGCCACAAAGCGAGGCATTATCCCCATACCCAGCTGTTGGTGTCAAACCCAAATATGATATATATAGGAGCCACAAAGCGAGGCATTATCCCCCATACCCAGCTGTTGGTGTCAAACCCAAATATGATATATATAGGAGCCACAAAGCGAGGCATTATCCCCATACCCAGCTGTTGGTGTCAAACCCAAATATGATATATATAGGAGCCACAAAGCGAGGCATTATCCCCATACCCAGCTGTTGGTGTCAAACCCAAATATGATATATATAGGAGCCACAAAGCGAGGCATTATCCCCCATACCCAGCTGTTGGTGTCAAACCCAAATATGATATATATAGGAGCCACAAAGCGAGGAATTATCCCCATACCCAGCTGTTGGTGTAAAACCCAAATATGATATATATATAAAAGGAGCCAAAAAGCGAGCCCCCAGCTGTTGGTGTCAATGATATATATAGGAGCCACACCCAGCTGTTGGTGTAAAACCCAAATATGATATATATATATAGGAGCCAAAAAGCGAGGCATTATCCCCCACACCCAGCTGTTGGTGTCAAACCCAAATATGATATATATAGGAGCCACAAAGCGAGGAATTATCCCCATACCCAGCTGTTGGTGTAAAACCCAAATATGATATATATATAGGAGCCAAAAAGCGAGGCATTATCCCCCACACCCAGCTGTTGGTGTAAAACCCAAATATGATATATATATATAGGAGCCAAAAAGCGAGGCATTATCCCCCACACCCAGCTGTTGGTGTAAAACCCAAATATGATATATATATATATAGGGGCAACAAAGCTCCATCTCCTATCCTGATCCCTTCCTGTCCCTACATCCCTTCCTGTCCCTGTTTCCACAGACCTCCATCTGCCATCCTGATCTCTTCCTGTCCCTGTCTCCATCCATGTCCCTTCCCTTCTTTCCTTTCACAGCTTTGAGCTGTGTCAGTCTCCTGCCCCAGCCCTCCTTCCTCCTACATCATCTGATAAAGACATACTAACCGCTACGCCTGGAAGCTGACCGTGTCAGTCTCCTGCCCCAGCCCTCCTTCCTCCTACATCATCTGATAAAGACATACCTACATCATCTGATAAAGACATACCAACTGCTACGCCTGGAAGCTGACAGTGTGTCAGTGTCCTGCCCCAGCCCTCCTTCCTCCTACATCATCTGATAAAGATATACTAACCGCTACGCCTGGAAGCTGACCGTGTCAGTCTCCTGCCCCAGCCCTCCTTCCTCCTACATCATGTGATAAAGACATACCGTAAATATTCGCGTATAGTGCGCACTCGTGTATAGTGCGCAGGTACTTTTTGGAGATCAGATTTAAAAAAAAAAAATCTACAGAATAATTAATTGACTGGTCACTGCGACGAAACATTTGATGTGGTCTGATCCATTGATAATTAGGAAACCACAATGAGCGTGACCCTAACACTTGTAATTACCTTAAGTAAACAAATTTACCCAGGTGACCTAACAAGCATGAAAGGCTTGGCTGATTGTATAATGAACGGTTAATGATAGTTAACACGTTGAGTATGAGGAGACTGATGACACCCGGCTTTGGCTGAACGCGTACTATTGGTCAGAAAACGATATTGTTTTAACTGTCTGAACATTTTCAATCCTACCTTGTCCCCATAAAAGCAGGTGGTTTGTTCAGTATAGGCATGATCTTTCATGGTATCTGTACCCACCGCGGTATCCGAAGGTATTTAATGATAGATTTTTTACACCGACTTCGACATGGGGAAACTGCGAACGCCATTTGAATACGCAGAGAGACTGGAGTTTCGTGCCGCCGGTCGCCACTTCGACATTCCAGAGTGAAATATCAAGGCACGGAAGAAAGAAAAGACCGTCTAAAGTCCCAACCACTGACCAGAAGGGCTGACATAGGTGTGACAGCGAAACACCGCGAGATGGAGAGAGAGAGAGCTGTTCAACTTTGTATGCGATCGCCGATATCCCGGCATCGCTGCCAGTACAACAGAACTGCGCGTGCGGGCCATGCAGATCAAGAGAGGTCATGGGGTCACCAACTTTGGGCATCGGTGGGATGGGCTGTCCGATTTATGAACAGAACGACAATCTCCTAAAAACTTCCGGATTCATTAAATTCCACGGATACATCATCAAAATGAGGCAGAAATTCAGACACTACTATAGCCTTGACCAATAGTAAGACCGACGGGAAACGAAAAAAAATTAGATGCTAGCGTGAATGGCAGATGATTAAAACATTCAAAATTTATTTTATTTTTTTGTTGTTTTTATCTCCAAAAGACCGACGACTTTTACATATAACTATGTGAAGGGAGGTAATCCAATATGGCAGATGCAGAACTCGGGAATGATAACCCCAGGAATGGCATGTACCTGCGTATAGTGCGCACCCCCTTTTTGACACGACAGTTTCAGCTTAAAAAAGTGCGCACTATACGCGAATATTTACAGTACTAACTGCTACGCCTGGAAGCTGACAGTGTCAGTGTCCTGCCCCAGCCCTCCTTCCTCCTACATCATGTGATAAAGACATACTAACCGCTACGCCTGGAAGCTGACAGTGTGTCAGTCTCCTGCCCCAGCCCTCCTTCCTCCTACATCATCTGATAAAGATATACTAACCGCTACGCCTGGAAGCTGACAATCACATTGGCAGTTATAGGCTACATCCACATTTAGTTCAGCCTTCAGACCTTCTGGGTTGATTTTGAAAGTATCCTTCCATTTTTCGGGGTCGTTAGGACATTCTGTGCCTTTATACTGCATATTCATCTCAAACCTTATCTGAAAGACAGGCAGAGATGTTAAAGTTATATATGTAAACACTACTAGCATAGGACTTCCTGTTATCAACTATAACCTTGACTTCTCAACCTGGTTTGTTAAGTAGCTTCTGTCCCAGACCTGACACTGAGACCTGAGATAACTTCCAACACCTAACTTGTCACATCTCAGTCTGGCTTCTGACCCAGACCTGACACTGAGACCTGAGATAACTTCCTACACCAGCTTTGTCATATTTCAGTCTGGCTTCTGTCCCAGACCTGACACTGAGACCTGAGATAACTTCCTACACCAGCTTTGTCACATTTTAGTCTGGCTTCTGTTCCAGACCTGACACTGAGACCTGAGATAACTTCCTACACCAGCTTTGTCAAATCTCAGTTTGGCTTCTGTCCCAGACCTGACACTGAGACCTGAGATAACTTCATACACCAGCTTTGTCACATCTCAGTCTGGCTTCTGTTCCAGACCTGACACTGAGACCTGAGATAACTTCCTACACCTAACTTGTCAAATCTCAGTCTGGCTTTTGTCCCAGACCTGACACTGAGACCTGAGATAGCTTCCTAAACCTAACTTGTCACATCTCAGTCTGGCTTCTGTCCCAGACCTGACACTGAGACCTGAGATAACTTCCTACATCAGCTTTGTCACATCTCAGTCTGGCTTCTGTCCCAGACCTGACACTGAGACCTAAGATAATTTCCTACACCTAACTTGTCACATCTCAGTCTGGCTTCTGTCCCAGACCTGACACTGAGACCTGAGATAACTTCTCACACCAGCTTTGTCACATCTCAGTCTGGCTTCTGTCCCAGACCTGACACTGAGACCTGAGATAACTTCCTACACCAGCTTTGTCACATCTCAGTCTGGCTTCTGTCCCAGACCTGACACTGAGACCTGAGATAATTTCTTACACCTAACTTGTCACATCTCAGTCTGGCTTCTGTCCCAGACCTGACACTGAGACCTGAGATAACTTCATACACCAGCTTTGTCACATCTCAGTCTGGCTTCTGTCCCAGACCTGACACTGAGACCTGAGATAATTTCCTACACCTAACTTGTCACATCTCAGTCTGGCTTCTGTCCCAGACCTGACACTGAGACCTGAGATACCTTCTCACACCAGCTTTGTCACATCTCAGTCTGGCTTCTGTCCCAGACCTGACACTGAGACCTGAGATAATTTCCTACACCTAACTTGTCACATCTCAGTCTGGCTTCTGTCCCAGACCTGACACTGAGACCTGAGATAACTTCCAACACCTAACTTGTCACATCTCAGTCTGGCTTCTGACCCAGACCTGACACTGAGACCTGAGATAACTTCCTACACCAGCTTTGTCATATTTCAGTCTGGGTTCTGTCCCAGACCTGACACTGAGACCTGAGATAACTTCCTACACCAGCTTTGTCACATTTTAGTCTGGCTTCTGTTCCAGACCTGACACTGAGACCTGAGATAACTTCCTACACCAGCTTTGTCAAATCTCAGTTTGGCTTCTGTCCCAGACCTGACACTGAGACCTGAGATAACTTCATACACCAGCTTTGTCACATCTCAGTCTGGCTTCTGTTCCAGACCTGACACTGAGACCTGAGATAACTTCCTACACCTAACTTGTCAAATCTCAGTCTGGCTTTTGTCCCAGACCTGACACTGAGACCTGAGATAGCTTCCTAAACCTAACTTGTCACATCTCAGTCTGGCTTCTGTCCCAGACCTGACACTGAGACCTGAGATAACTTCCTACATCAGCTTTGTCACATCTCAGTCTGGCTTCTGTCCCAGACCTGACACTGAGACCTAAGATAATTTCCTACACCTAACTTGTCACATCTCAGTCTGGCTTCTGTCCCAGACCTGACACTGAGACCTGAGATAACTTCTCACACCAGCTTTGTCACATCTCAGTCTCACACCTGAGCTTTGTCACATCTCAGTCTGGCTTCTGTCCCAGACCTGACACTGAGACCTGAGATAATTTCCTACACCTAACTTGTCACATCTCAGTCTGGCTTCTGTCCCAGACCTGACACTGAGACCTGAGATAACTTCATACACCAGCTTTGTCACATCTCAGTCTGGCTTCTGTCCCAGACCTGACACTGAGACCTGAGATAATTTCCTACACCTAACTTGTCACATCTCAGTCTGGCTTCTGTCCCAGACCTGACACTGAGACCTGAGATACCTTCTCACACCAGCTTTGTCACATCTCAGTCTGGCTTCTGTCCCAGACCTGACACTGAGACCTGAGATAATTTCCTACACCTAACTTGTCACATCTCAGTCTGGCTTCTGTCCCAGACCTGACACTGAGACCTGAGATAATTTCCTACACCTAACTTGTCACATCTCAGTCTGGCTTCTGTCCCAGACCTGACACTGAGACCTGAGATAACTTCTCACACCAGCTTTGTCACATCTCAGTCTGGCTTCTGTCCCAGACCTGACACTGAGACCTGAGATAACTTCTCACACCAGCTTTGTCACATCTCAGTCTGGCTTCTGTCCCAGACCTGACACTGAGACCTGAGATAATTTCCTACACCTAACTTGTCACATCTCAGTCTGGCTTCTGTCCCAGACCTGACACTGAGACCTGAGATACCTTCTCACACCTGCTTTGTCACATCTCAGTCTGGCTTCTGTCCCAGACCTGACACTGAGACCTGAGATAATTTCCTACACCTAACTTGTCACATCTCAGTCTGGCTTCTGTCCCAGACCTGACACTGAGACCTGAGATAATTTCCTACACCTAACTTGTCACATCTCAGTCTGGCTTCTGTCCCAGACCTGACACTGAGACCTGAGATAACTTCTCACACCAGCTTTGTCACATCTCAGTCTGGCTTCTGTCCCAGACCTGACACTGAGACCTGAGATAATTTCCTACACCTAACTTGTCACATCTCAGTCTGGCTTCTGTCCCAGACCTGACACTGAGACCTGAGATAACTTCTCACACCAGCTTTGTCACATCTCAGTCTGGCTTCTGTCCCAGACCTGACACTGAGACCTGAGATAATTTCCTACACCTAACTTGTCACATCTCAGTCTGGCTTCTGTCCCAGACCTGACACTGAGACCTGAGATACCTTCTCACACCTGCTTTGTCACATCTCAGTCTGGCTTCTGTCCCAGACCTGACACTGAGACCTGAGATAATTTCCTACACCTAACTTGTCACATCTCAGTCTGGCTTCTGTCCCAGACCTGACACTGAGACCTGAGATAATTTCCTACACCTAACTTGTCACATCTCAGTCTGGCTTCTGTCCCAGACCTGACACTGAGACCTGAGATAATTTCCTACACCTAACTTGTCACATCTCAGTCTGGCTTCTGTCCCAGACCTGACACTGAGACCTGAGATAACTTCCTACACCAGCTTTGTCACATTTCAGTCTGGCTTCTGTCCCAGACCTGACACTGAGACCTGAGATAATTTTCTACACCTAACTTGTCACATCTCAATCTGGCTTCTGTCCCAGACCTATTACTGAAGTTTGAAATAACTTACCGGTTTTTCTACTCCAACCCTGTCACATTGGCTCTGCTTCTGTAAGATGTCAGCCCTAAAACAAGGAAGAAACATCATTTGTAAGGAGTACATAATAGAATAAAACAAAGGTATCGTGACAATCTTGAGCTGACGACTGATATAAAAGGCCTAAGGTCCTTTAAGATCAATTTAAGCAACATCAGATTGATCTTGGTTTCACTTTGGTCTAACCTTTATTTGCTCTTCAAAAGTTGGATATTTTACTTTCTTTTCACTTTCTTCTGTTTTCCCTTTTATATATAATTTGAAAATCCCTATTAAGAAATAGCAATGTTTATATTTTAATAGTCAAATCAAACATGGTTGCATGTGAGCCTTTTTTTTATCAGTCTCAAAATAAATACGGCACAATCCAGAATAACCTAAGAATGAAATTTTAAGAAAGATCCATCCAGTACTTCAGGAATTTGCAATAACAAACTTTCATTGTCACAATACAAGATGGTGGCCTGTCAGCAATTTTGTTTTCATAATCGAAAGGGCAAAACAAGAGACTGACACATCAAGTTTATGAAATGTAATAAATGATAATAAATTCAACTGTCAATATTCAAAATGGCTGTCTGTCGGCCATTTTTGTTTCCCTGGTCGACCTGAAATTTAAATTGGTACAATTGAGATCATAGGAAACTTACAAATGAAGTTTTAGAAATATCCCTCCAGATCTTCTTCAGTAAATGTGAAAACATATTCAACTGCCAAATCCAAGATGGCTACCTGTCAGTCATTTTGTTTCCCTTATCCAACACAAAAATAAAAGGCCACAACTGAGGGCCAAGGGGAACTGACACATCAAGTCCTAGGGAAACTGACACATCAGGTCCTAGGGGAACTGACAAATCAGACACATCAGGTCCTAGGGAAACTGACATATCAAGTCCTAAGGGAAATGACACATCAGGTCCTAGGGAAACTGACACATCAGGTCCTAGGGAAACTGACACATCAGGTCCTAGGGAAACTGACACATCAGGTCCTAGGGGAAATGACACATCAGGTCCTAGAGGAAATGATACATCAGGTCCTAGGGAAACAGACACATCAGGTCCTAGGGAAACTGACATATCAAGTCCTAAGGGAAATGACACATCAGGTCCTAGGGAAACTGACACATCAGGTCCTAGGGAAACTGACACATCAGGTCCTAGGGGAAATGACACATCAGGTCCTAGGGGAACAGACACATCAGGTCCTAAGGGAACTGACACATCAGGTCCTAGGGAAACTGACACATCAGGTCCTAGGGGAACTGACACATCAGGTCCTAGGGGAACTGACATCAGATCCTAGAGGAAATGACACATCAGGTCCTAGGGGAACTGACACATCAGGTCCTAGGGGAACGGATACATCAGGTCCTAGGGGAACAGACACATCAGGTCCTAGGGGAACTGACACATCAGGTACTAGGGGAACTGACACATCAGGTACTAGGGGAACTGAAACATCAGGTCCTAGGGGAACTGACACATCAGGTCCTAGGGAAACAGACACATCAGGTCCTAGGGGAACTGACACATCAGATCCTAGGGAGACTGACACATCAGGTCCTTGGGGAACGGATACATCAGGTCCTAGGGGAACGGACACATCAGGTCCTAGGGGAACTGACACATCAGGTACTAGGGGAACTGACCCATCAGGTACTAGGGGAACTGAAACATCAGGTCCTAGGGGAACTGACACATCAGGTCCTAGGGAAACTGACACATCAGGTCCTAGGGGAACTGACACATCAGGTCCTAGGGGAACTGACACATCAGGTACTAGGGGAACTGAAACATCAGGTACTAGGGGAACAGACACATCAGGTCCTAGGGGAACTGACACATCAGGTTTCAGATATATTCTTCCAGTACTTCTTAAGAAATAGCAATGACAATTTTCAACCCTAACAAGAAACTGATGAAGGCTCCCCAAAACGGACTTGATTGGACACAAAATTTCACAAAGGGACAATAATTCTGTAATAAGGGGTTTCAGACAGTGAATCTGATACACTGTACAGTCTCTATGTAAGACCAATGTATCCAAGCTTTATTACCTTATTTAAATCACTGGGTGGTATGTTATCTATAAGAAATTTTATCAAAGATAATTAACTTTGTAATTATGGGTGGCATGCCCCCACATTGGTCCATTGTACCTTGTTTCTGTTTGATCAATATATACTGTGGATTCATTTATTTTCGTTGGGTTCAATTTTCGTTGTTTCTACAAATTAGACAGTTTCGTGGACTCATAAATTCGTGGATTTTTTATTCTGTGGGAAAAAAATAAAAACGTTAGAATTTTCTCTTTTTGCTTCCAGTCGAAATTTTTTCTGTTTGTATTAAGGCTATGTTCACAGGAATTAACACTGATGACAAGAATAAAAGAACGTTTTTTTTCAAGATGGCGTCCTGTGTTTTTATAACGCTGGTCTCGCATTAATATCAAACAACAAATCAGTATATAACCTGGCGTGTAATCAATCGGTAATTATCAGAAACAATTGTTTTCAGTGGATAAACATTGTGCGCTGATCAGTCGGTGTACCGCAGTCATATGAAAACACCACGCGTATCAATTGGACCATGTGTGTAAACAGGTGTGTAAACAAGATCTGCATTATTAATAATTATTGTGAACCTGTAGTCGGATAGAAATACGGATCCAATCTTCAATCGACAGGATGGTCCGATCAAGCCTAGTGTCCACAGTGTCGCTAACGACTGCGATCCCATCATACTTAGCATCACAATGGGTACTTACCCTTTGTTATGTTTAATAATATATAATTATATATCGTTGACACCAATTTAGCGTATCCATGTCGAGCCTCAGACTACCCGACTCCCGACTAATTACGGGGCTTCTGTCATTACCGGTGGACGTTTCCGGTGTCGGCAAAGATTACTTGGTCAAATTTCAAAATTACTTTAGTAAGTAGTTCATATTTCGTTGTGTTTTTAAATTCGTGGATTTGCTCATCCACGAAAACAACGAAAATTGGACCCCCACGAAATAAAATGAATCCACAGTACACAAAGTTTGATTATCCTAGCTTAAATGAAAGCAAACTTATGCTCGGTACAAGAAATCTTAACAAAGTGCAATAACTCGGTAATTAAGGGGTTGTGGGTCCTGAATTAGGTACACTGCACATCCTCGTTGTATGAAGAATGTATGCACTATGTTTCATTATCCTAATTTTAATGCAAGCAAAGGCATGTGAAAATTTTCGAGGAACATACATTTCCAAAATGACTTCCAGTCGACCATGTTTTTTCCCTGATCCAACTCAACATTTGACTGACACAAGTAGAGACCAACAAGAACTGACATATGGAGTTTGGAAAATATCCCTCAGGCATTTCTCAAGAAATACCCTGGTAGTGATAACAAGGATTGTTTACACATGAATGACTGACAATGGCTGTCAGGGGTTATAGCCTAACATCATCACTGAAGACTTTTTTTTCTGGAAAGAAGGTTAGCAATCGACCAATCAGATTTTAGCACCCTCATTTAATAACTATTATGTGTGAAATGAATCTGTAGGATGTTGGACATTTAATCTGCGATAATATGAAGCATAACAATTCTGCTCCAAGCCCTTAAAGCTAACATTTTCTAACATAACTTACCCTGACCCACAGTTTGACCTCAGAAAATATCTAATGTCATCTTTCTTCTCAACCAGAATCTTGACATTCTCTCTGATGGCCTGAAAACAAGAGTGTACAGATCTTAGAAACATGTTTTCTGTTGTGTGATGCTGATCTACCATTTATGTATTCTATAGAAAACAGACCTACCCTGTATGTGTCCTGTATGAGACAGACCTACCCTGTATGTGTCCTGTGTGAGACAGACCTACCCTGTATGTGTCCTGTGTGAGACAGACCTACCCTGTATGTGTCCTGTGTGAGACAGACCTACCCTGTATGTGTCCTGTGTGAGACAGACCTACCCTGTATGTGTCCTGTGTGAGACAGACCTACCCTGTATGTGTCCTGTGTGAGACAGACCTACCCTGTATGTGTCCTGTGTGAGACAGACCTACCCTGTATGTGTCCTGTGTGAGACAGACCTACCCTGTATGTGTCCTGTGTGAGACAGACCTACCCTGTATGTGTCCTGTGTGAGACAGACCTACCCTGTATGTGTCCTGTGTGAGACAGACCTACCCTGTATGTGTCCTGTGTGAGACAGACCTACCCTGTATGTGTCCTGTGTGAGACAGACCTACCCTGTATGTGTCCTGTGTGAGACAGACCTACCCTGTATGTGTCCTGTGTGAGACAGACCTACCCTGTATGTGTCCTGTGTGAGACAGACCTACCCTGTATGTGTCCTGTGTGAGACAGACCTACCCTGTATGTGTCCTGTGTGAGACAGACCTACCCTGTATGTGTCCTGTGTGAGACAGACCTACCCTGTATGTGTCCTGTGTGAGACAGACCTACCCTGTATGTGTCCTGTGTGAGACAGACCTACCCTGTATGTGTCCTGTGTGAGACAGACCTACCCTGTATGTGTCGTGTGAGACAGACCTACCCTGTATGTGTCCTGTGTGAGACAGACCTACCCTGTATGTGTCCTGTGTGAGACAGACCTACCCTGTATGTGTCCTGTGTGAGACAGACCTACCCTGTATGTGTCCTGTGTGAGACAGACCTACCCTGTATGTGTCCTGTGTGAGACAGACCTACCCTGTATGTGTCCTGTGTGAGACAGACCTACCCTGTATGTGTCCTGTGTGAGACAGACCTACCCTGTATGTGTCCTGTGTGAGACAGACCTACCCTGTATGTGTCCTGTGTGAGACAGACCTACCCTGTATGTGTCCTGTGTGAGACAGACCTACCCTGTATGTGTCCTGTGTGAGACAGACCTACCCTGTATGTGTCCTGTGTGAGACAGACCTACCCTGTATGTGTCCTGTGTGAGACAGACCTACCCTGTATGTGTCCTGTATGAGATAGACCTACCCTGTATGTGTCCTGTATGATCCGTGTTATGTTGGATGAGTCTCTAAGGTCAAGTTTCTGGGCACTTGACAGTTGTCCAATTTCCTCTACAACCTTTTGGTAGGCATTGATAGCGGCAGATCCCACAGTAAAAAGCAGGATGATCTTGTTTTCTTTCACTTTTTCTTTGATCTGGCCGACAGATGGGTAATCCTGTAACCAATCAATCAGATAAAAATATTAAGATTGCCTTCAATCATGGTATTGATTAGAAGTGTTTGAAACCCAAGGCATAAAGTCAATAAGCAATGCGGAATATATCAATTCCAGGAGCCACATGATTTTTAAGGCAACCAGATATGTACTGACCTGATATAGAGACCAGATGTACTGACCTGATATAGACACCAGGTGTACTGACCTGATATAGAGACCAGGTGTACTGACCTGATATAGAGACATGGTGTACTGACCTGATATAGAGACAGGGTGTACTGACCTGATATAGAGACAGGGTGTACTGACCTGATATAGACACCAGGTGTACGGACCTGATATAGAGACCTGGTGCACTGACCTCATATAGAGACATTGTGTACTGACCTGATATAGAAACATGATGTACTGACCTGATATAGAGACCTGGTGTACTGACCTGATATAGAGACACTGTGTACTGACCTGTTATAGAAACATGATGTACTGACCTGATATATAGAGACCTGGTGTATTGACCAGATATAGAGACAGGGTGTACTAACCTGACATAGAGACAGGGTGTACTGACCTGATATAGAGACACTGTGTACTGACCTGATACAGAGACCTGGTGTACTGACCTGATATAGAGACTAGATGTACTGACCTGATATAGAGACCTGGTGTACTGACCTGATATAGAGACTAGATATACTGACCTGATATAGAGACTAGATGTACTGACCTAATGTAAAGACAGGGTGTACTGACTGATATAGAGACCTGGTGTACTGACCTGATATAGAGACCTGGTGAACTGACCTGATATAGAGACTAGATATACTGACCTGATATAGAGACTAGATGTACTGACCTAATGTAAAGACAGGGTGTACTGACCTGATATAGAGACCTGGTGTACTGACCTGATATAGAGACCTGGTGAACTGACCTGATATAGAGACTAGATGTACTGACCTGATATAGAGACTAGACGTACTGACCTGATGTAAAGAAAGGGTGTACTGACCTGATATAGAGACCTGGTGTACTGACCTGATATAGAGACCTGGTGTACTGACCTGATATAAAGACTAGATGTACTGACCTGATATAGAGACTAGACGTACTGACCTGATGTAAAGAAAGGGTGTACTGACCTGATATAGAGACCTGGTGTACTGACCTGATATAGAGACCTGGTGTACTGACCTGATATAAAGACTAGATGTACTGACCTGATATAGAGACTAGACGTACTGACCTGATGTAAAGAAAGGGTGTACTGACCTGATATAGAGACCTGGTGTACTGACCTGATATAGAGACCTGGTGTACTGACCTGATATAAAGACTAGATGTACTGACCTGATATAGAGACTAGACGTACTGACCTGATGTAAAGAAAGGGTGTACTGACCTGATATAGAGACCTGGTGTACTGACCTGATATAAAGACTAGATGTACTGACCTGATATAGAGACTAGACGTACTGACCTGATGTAAAGAAAGGGTGTACTGACCTGTTCCAGGGATTTTGTGTACATATTTGTTTCAGAATTTGTGTGACATTTCCCGTCATTAGGTGTCACTATCCCAGCTAGCTGTAGAAATAGAAAACAGAAAATGTTTTAAGATAAAAGAATTGTATAATTTCTACTACTCAATCCAAAGTCATATACATAGCACTGATTTGAATGCATAAAGGAAAATGATTATGTTTCCTCTGTGCTACCATTCTATCTGTCTCAGATGTGTTACCTGTCTATCTGTCTCAGATGTTTTACCTGTCTATCAGTCTCAGATGTTTTACCTGTCTATCTGTCTCAAATATGTAACCTGTCTATCTGTCTCAGATTTCTTACCTGTCTATCAGTCTCAGATGTGTTACCTGTCCATCTGTCTCAGATAATTTACATGTCCATCTGTCTCAGATGTTTTACCTGTCTATCTGTCTCAGATGTGTTACCTGTCTATCAGTCTCATATGTTTTATCTGTCTAATTGTCTCGGATGTGTTACCTTTCAATACGTTTCAGAAGTGATGCCTGTCTCATTGTCTCAGCTGTCTCATTGTCTATGATGTGTCAATTGTCAATCTGTCTAAGATGAGTCAACTGACAATCTGTCTCAGATATGTCGCCCACCTATCGGTCTCAGATATGACACCTGTCTCATATATATAACATGTCTTATTGTCCCATTGTCTCCTTGTCTCAGATGTGAAATCGCTCTCATTATCTTAGATTTGACACCTATTCTATTACCTCAAATGTGTCACCAGTCTTATTGTCTTAGATGTGTTACCTGTCTCATTGTCTCAAATGCGGTCACATCTGTCTCAATGTCTCATATGTTGTTACACCTGTCTCATTGTTTCAAATGTGTCACCTGTCTCATTGTTTTAGATGGAACACCTGTCTCATTGTTTTGATGTGTCAGCTGTCTTATTGTCTCAGATGTGTCATCTGTTTAATTGTCTCAGTTGTGTCATCTGTCTCATTGTCTCAGATGGGTCACCTGTCTCATTGTTTTAGATGGGTTACCTGTCTCATTTTTCTAGATGTGTCAGCTGTCTTATTGTCTCATCTGTGACACCATTACTTTGTTACATCTATCTCTTTATTTCAAATGGATCATCTGTCTCTTTGTCTTAGACGTGTCACCCCAAAATAATACTCACCCGTCCATCTCCAGCAAAATGGTAATCGCTGTCTGTAGCATAAATGAGTAAACGTCTTGAACGATTCCTCCAACCAATCAGTTCCTACAATACAAAGAGTTAATGAGACCTCCAGCCAATCAGTTCCTACAAGACAATGAGCTATTGAGACCTCCAGCCAATCAGTTCCTACAATACACTCAGTTAATGAGACCTCCAGCCAATCAGGTCCTACAAGACAATGAGCTATTGAGACCTCCAGCCAATCAGGTCCTAAAATACAATCAGTTAATGAGACCTCCAGCCAATCAGGTCCGACAATACAATCAGTTAATGAGACCTCCAGCCAATCAGGTCCAACAATACAATCAGTTAATGACACCTCCAGCCAATCAGGTCCTTCAAGACAATCAGTTAATGACACCTCCAGCCAATCAGGTCCTACAAAATTAGTGTCCTAGGCTCGGTTATAACCGGAACAAGGACGTTAAGCTCAAAAAAAAACAAAAAAAAGGTCCTACAATACAATCAGTTAATGACACCTCCAGCCAATCAGGTCCTACAAGACAATGAGCTATTGAGGTGACCATCAGAATCTGCTCAGCTTTAACAATAAGTCAATTTAATGATGTATTTCAATGGCTCTCAATTCCAATAGGTCAATAGGATATTTTCAATTGATCACTATCATGATATTTGTTCCTCTACCAATTGTTAGCGATAGTGTCTTTTAACTAAACAAAAATACTACTTGAAAGCAAGAATTTTCATTGAGTTGCAAGGTAGCCTTCGTTTATTTATGAAAACAGCACTGAGACCTTGATTGGGGGTAGCGCTAAATACAAGCACAATCACCCACTTAGGTTGGAAATTTTCAGCACAATTTGTTAGTTCATAAAAACATTTTCTGTAAACTTGTTTGTTCATAAAAACATTTTCTGTAACCTTGTTTGTTCATAAAACATTTTCTGCAAACTTGTTAGTTCATAAAAACATTTTCTGTAAACAAATTAATATCGTAATCCTGTTGTGCTTTTTTGACCTCAATAGTCACCCCTATCAGTGCGATAGTGTGTTCAGAATGAATAAATCTGTTCAAGAATTCAAGAGATATCCTGTACACAAGGTTTTTATTTCAAGAGTGGTCATGGATGACCTTTGACATTTAACCTTTTACCTTGACCAATTATCATCAAAATCTAATCAAGTGAGGAACATGGGTTCAAGAGATACAGATGGAGACATAAAATGATTGCTATATACTCACTCTGAACTAAGGATGAGGTAGGGTGTGTAGCGCCAAGTCAGGGTGTTACAACAAATAGCATTGATGTAAAAACATTCTGGTGGGGAAGTAATGGGGGAGGAGGGGAGGAGGGGAGGAGGGGAGGGATGGAGGGGCAGGAAAGGGACAAAGGCTATGATAAACAGTCTTAATGTAAAAACATTCTGGTGGGGGAATGACCGGGGAGGTGGGGAAGTGACCGGGGAGGTGGGGAGGGATGGAGGGATGAAGGGGAACAGGGATGGGGAGGGAAAGAGGCTAGGATAAACAGTCTTCATGTAAAAACATTCTGGTGGAGAAGTGACCGGGGAGGTGGGGAGGGGGTTTTGATAAACAGTCTTGAAGTGAAAACATTCATTTGGAGGAAGTAATGGGGGAAGTGGGGTGGGACTGAGGGGTAGGGGGGGAGGGACAGAGGCTATGATAAACAGCCTTGAATGACAGAGATGGGGAGGGAGGGGGAGGGGAAGGGAAAGGGTGTTTTGATAAACAGTCTTGATGTGAAAACATTCAGAAGGAGGAAGTAACGGGGTAGGTGGAGAGGGAGGGGAGGAGAAACAGGGTTTTGATAAATTGCCTTGATGTAATATCATTCTTCATTTACCGTGCAAACCATGACTTGCATCAAGCCATCAAATCCTCCTTCAGGTGTGTCGTAGTTGGCACTGCTTTCTGTGGCATCGACTTGTCTCTGTAAAAACAGTAAAATGAATACTGATACCATTAACCAGAATTAAACATTTTAACAGAATCTTATCATAATTAGTTCATGTTTGGACAAATAAAGCAGTTTAAAGACTGAATTCTAAGACACCCATGAGCCCCTTGGATCTTGTCGATCATCTGACTAGAAACACCTACAAAGTACTGTTATACAAATAGTGGGATCAATCATTACAAACATTTCACTGACTAGAAACACCTACAAAGTACTGTTATACTAATACTAACAGAACAGACACAAGGACGGACACATGCACGGACGGACACATACATGCACAGACTGATGGACACACATACTCACAGAATATTTTGGGAGGGATAATTAAGCAAATTCTCACCAAAAAGGAACTTCACTTACAATAAACTCAGGGATGTCCTTTGCCAGTTTCATAGAGTGTTTGAAGGAATAAGGTGCAGCACAAGTTTTTTCTTGGATGGAACAAGGATTCTCCACACTGTTAATGTACAAAGTTTGTGATACAGATTTACAGTCAAAATCATCGCAGGTCTGATACATATTAACTAGGTGTTACATTAAAATCCAGGAAATCAAAGAGGGATCTTCAAGTTTACCGTAACAGGATCTTTACTTAGTTCTTTAATTATAAAATGGATCTTGTCCTTCCTTTGCTCTAAATTATAAGATTGTTGTATCAACAGATGAATTAATTATATGGAAACATCAATAAACATCAGGGTTACCAAATATAACTGTCAATATATTCATCTTATAATTCTCATGAATGGGAGGTATGAGTGGAAGGTAAAACACTTACTTTGCTGGGGAAGTGCATATTAAAGGTAAAACACTTACATTGCTGCGGAGGTGTAGTTTAAAGGTAAAACACTTACATTGCGGGGGAGGTGTAGTTTAAAGGTAAAACACTTACATTGCTGGGGAGGTGTAGTTTAAAGGTAAAAAACTTACATTGCTGGGTTGATGTAGTTTAAAGGTAAAACACTTACATTGCTGGGGAGGTGTAGTTTAAAGGTAAAACACTTACATTGTTGGGGAGGTGTAGTTTAATGGTAAAACACTTACATTGCTGGGGAGGTGTAGTTTAAAGGTAAAACACTTACATTGCTGGGGAGGTGTAGTTTAAAGGTAAAACACTTACATTGCTGGGGAAGTGCATATTAAAGGTAAAACACATTGCTGGGGAGGTGTAGTTTAAAGGTAAAACACTTACATTGCTGGGGAGGTGTAGTTTAAAGGTAAAACACTTACATTGCTGGGGAGGTGTGGTTTAAAGGTAAAACACTTACATTGCTGGGGAGGTGTAGTTTAAAGGTAAAACACTTACATTGCTGGGGAGGTGTAGTTTAAAGGTAAAACACTTACATTGCTGGGGAGGTGTAGTTTAAAGGTAAAAAACTTACATTGCTGGGGAGGTATAGCTTAAAGGTAAAACACTTACTTTGCTGGGGAGGTGTAGTTGAAAGGTAAAACACTTACATTGCTGAGGAGGTGTAGTTTAAAGGTAAAACACTTACATTGCTGGGGAGGTGTAGTTTAAAGGTAAAACACTTACATTGCTGGGAAGGTGTAGTTTAAAGGTAAAACACTTACATTGCTGGGGAGGTGTAGTTTAAAGGTAAAACACTTACATTGCTGGGGAGGTGTAGTTTAAAGATAAAACACTTACATTGCTGGGGAGGTGTAGTTTAAAGGTAAAACACTTACATTGCTGGGGAGGTGCAGTTTAAAGGTAAAACACTTACATTGCTGGGGAGGTGTAGTTTAAAGGTAAAACACTTACATTGCTGGGGAGGTGTAGTTTAAAGGTAAAACACTTACATTGCTGGGGAGGTGTAGTTTAAAGGTAAAACACTTACATTGCTGGGGAAGTGCATATTAAAGGTAAAACACATTGCTGGGGAGGTGTAGTTTAAAGGTAAAACACTTACATTGCTGGGGAGGTGTAGGTTAAAGGTAAAACACTTACATTGCTGGGGAGGTGTGGATTAAAGGTAAAACACTTACATTGCTGGGGAGGTGTAGTTTAAAGGTAAAACACTTACATTGCTGGGGAGGTGTAGTTTAAATGTAAAACACTTACATTGCTGGGGAGGTGTAGTTTAAAGATAAAACACTTACATTGCTGGGGAGGTGTAGTTTAAAGGTAAAACACTTACATTGGTGGGGAGGTGTAGCTTGATGGTAAAACACTTACATTGGTGGGGAGGTGTGGTTTAAAGGTAAAACACTTACATTGCTGGGGAGGTGTAGTTTAAAGGTAAAACACTGACATTGCTGGGGAGGTGTAGTTTAAAGGTAAAACACTTACATTGCTGGGGAGGTGTAGTTTAAAGGTAAAACACTTACATTGCTGGGGAGGTGTAGTTTAAAGGTAAAACACTTACATTGCTGGGGAAGTGCATATTAAAGGTAAAACACATTGCTGGGGAGGTGTAGTTTAAAGGTAAAACACTTACATTGCTGGGGAGGTGTAGTTTAAAGGTAAAACACTTACATTGCTGGGGAGGTGTAGTTTAAAGGTAAAACACTTACATTGCTGGGGAGGTGTAGTTTAAAGGTAAAACACTTACATTGCTGGGGAGGTGTAGTTAAAGGTAAAACACTTACATTGCTGGGGAGGTGTAGTTTAAAGGTAAAACACTTACATTGCTGGGGAGGTGTAGTTTAAAGGTAAAACACTTACATTGCTGGGGAGGTGTAGTTTAAAGGTAAAACACTTACATTGCTGGGGAGGTGTAGTTTAAAGGTAAAACACTTACATTGCTGGGGAGGTGTAGTTTAAAGGTAAAACACTTACATTGCTGGGGAGGTGTAGTTTAAAGGTAAAACACTGACATTGCTGGGGAGGTGTAGTGGAATGGTAAAACACTTACATTGCTGGGGAGGTGTAGCTTGATGGTAAAACACTTACATTGGTGGGGAGGTGTTGTTTAAAGGTAAAACACTTACATTGGTGGGGAGGTGTAGTTTAAAGATAAAACACTTAATTGCTGGGGAGGTAAAACACTTACATTGCTGGGGAGGTGTAGTTTAAAGGTAAAACACTTATAATGCTGGGGAGGTGTAGCTTAAAAGGAAAACACTTACATTGCTGGGAAGGTGTAGTTAAATGGTAAAACACTTACATTGCTGGGGAGGTGTAGTTTAAAGATAAAACACATTGCTGGGGAGGTGTAGTTTAAAGGTAAAACACTTACATTGCTGGGGAAGTGCATATTAAAGGTAAAACACATTGCTGGGGAGGTGTAGTTTAAAGGTAAAACACTTACATTGGTGGGGAGGTGTTGTTTAAAGGTAAAACACTTACATTGGTGGGGAGGTGTAGTTTAAAGATAAAACACTTACATTGCTGGGGAGGTGTAGCTTAAAAGGAAAACACTTACATTGCTGGGAAGGTGTAGTTAAATGGTAAAACACTTACATTGCTGGGGAGGTGTAGTTTAAAGATAAAACACATTGCTGGGGAGGTGTAGTTTAAAGGTAAAACACTTACATTGCTGGGGAGGTGTAGTTAAATGGTAAAACACTTACATTGCTGGGGAGATGTAGTTAAATGGTAAAACACTTACATTGCTGGGGAGGTGTAGTTTAAAGGTAAAACACTTACATTGCTGGGGAGGTGTAGTTTAAAGGTAAAACACTAACATTGCTGGGGAGGTGTAGTTTAAAGATAAAACACTTACATTGCTGGGGAGGTGTAGTTTAATGGTAAAACACTTACATTGCTGGGGAGGTGTAGTTTAAAGGTAAAACACTTACATTGCTGGGGAGGTGTAGTTTAAAGGTAAAACACTTACATTGCTGGGGAGGTGTAGTTTAAAGGTAAAACACTTACATTGCTGGGGAGGTGTAGGTTAAAGGTAAAACACTTACATTGCTGGGGAGGTGTAGTTTAAAGGTAAAACACTTACATTGCTGGGGAGGTGTAGTTTAAAGGTAAAAAACTTACATTGCTGGGGAGGTGTAGTTTAATGGTAAAACACTTACATTGCTGGGGAGGTGTAGTTTAAAGGTAAAACACTTACATTGCTGGGGAGGTGTAGCTTGATGGTAAAACACTTACATTGGTGGGGAGGTGTTGTTTAAAGGTAAAACACTTACATTGGTGGGGAGGTGTAGTTTAAAGATAAAACACTTACATTGCTGGGGAGGTGTAGCTTAAAAGGAAAACACTTACATTGCTGGGAAGGTGTAGTTAAATGGTAAAACACTTACATTGCTGGGGAGGTGTAGTTTAAAGATAAAACACATTGCTGGGGAGGTGTAGTTTAATGGTAAAACACTTACATTGCTGGGAAGGTGTAGTTAAATGGTAAAACCCTTACATTGCTGAGGAGATGTAGTTAAATGGTCAAACACTTACATTGCTGGGGAGGTGTAGTTTAAAGGTAAAACACTTATAATGCTGGGGAGGTGTAGTTTGATGGTAAAACACTTACATTGATGGGGAGGTGTTGTTTAAAGATAAAACACTTGCATTTCTTGGGAAGTGTAGTTTAAAGATAAAACACTTACATTGCTGGGGAGGTGTAGTTTAAAGATAAAACACATTGCTGGGGAGGTGTAGTTTAAAGGTAAAACACTGACATTGCTGGGGAGGTGTAGTTTAAAGGTAAAACACTTACATTGCTGGGGAGGTGTAGTTTAAAGGTAAAACACTTACATTGCTGGGGAGGTGTAGTTTAAAGGTAAAACACTTACATTGCTGGGGAGGTGTAGTTTAAAGGTAAAACACTTACATTGCTGGGGAGGTGTAGTTTAAAGGTAAAACACTTACATTGCTGGGGAGGTGTAGTTTAAAGGTAAAACACTTACATTGCTGGGGAGGTGTAGTTTAATGGTAAAACACTTACATTGCTGGGGAGGTGTAGTTTAAAGGTAAAACACTGACATTGCTGGGGAAGTGTAGTTTAAAGGAAAAACACTTACATTGCTGGGGAGGTGTGGTTTAAAGGTAAAACACTTACATTGCTGGGGAGGTGTGGTTTAAAGGTAAACCACTTACATTGCTGGGGAGGTGTAGTTTAATGGTAAAACACTTACATTGCTGGGGAGGTGTAGCGGAATGGTAAAACACTTACATTGCTGGGGAGGTGTAGCTTGATGGTAAAACACTTACATTGCTGGGGAGGTGTAGTTTAAAGGTAAAACACTTACATTGCTGGGGAGGTATAGCTTAAAGGTAAAACACTTACATTGCTGAGGAGGTGTAGTTTAAAGACAAAACACTTACATTGCTGGGGAGGTGTAGTTTAATGGTAAAACACTTACATTGCTGGGGAGGTGTAGTGGAATGGTAAAACACTTACATTGCTGGGGAGGTGTAGTTTAATGGTAAAACACTTACATTGCTGGGGAGGTGTAGTGGAATGGTAAAACACTTACATTGCTGGGGAGGTGTTGTTTAAAGGTAAAACACTTATATTGCTGGGGAGGTGCTGTATAAAGGGAGAACACTTACATTGCTGGGGAGGTGTTGTTTAAATGTAAAACACTTACATTGCTGGAGAGGTGCTGTTTAAAGGTCAAACACTTACATTGCTTGGGAGTTATGGGTGAAACAGATACTTAGCCAGAAAGGAGAAGGTAAATGGTAAAATGCTTTCATTGTTGGGGAAGTACTTACTTTACTGGGGAGGTAGGTGAATGGTTAAACACTGACTATCTCTTGGAGGAGTGGATGAATTGTAAAACACTTACATACTGAGGGAGGTGTGGATGAATAGTAAAATGCTTACATATTGAGGGAGGTGTGGATGAATTGTGAAACACTTACATACTAAGGGAGGTGTGGATGAATTGTGAAACACTTACATCCTGAGGGAGGTGTGGATGAATTGTGAAACACTAACATACTAAGGGAGGTGTGGATGAATTGTGAAACACTTACATCCTGAGGGAGGTGTGGATGAATTGTGAAACACTTACAAACTGAGGGAGGTGTGGATGAAGGGTAAAACACTTACATATTCAGGGAGGTGTGTGTGAATTGTAAAACACTTACATACTGAGGGAGGTGTGTGTGAATTGTAAAACACTTACATACTGAGGGAGGTGTGGATGAATTGTGAAACAAATATTCAGGGAAGTGTGTGTGAATTGTGAAACACTTAAATACTGAGGGAAGTGTGTGTGAATTGTGAAACACTTAAATACTGAGGGAAGTGTGTGTGAATTGTGAAACACTTAAATACTGAGAGAAGTGTGTGTGAATTGTGAAACACTTAAATACTGAGGGAAGTGTGTGTGAATTGTGAAACACTTACATACTGAGGGAGGTGTGGATGAATAGTGAAACAAATATTCAGGGAAGTGTGTGTGAATTGTGAAACACTTACACGTCTGGGGAGGTGTGGGTAAATGGTAACACTACTTTCTCCATTGTTGTTCCATAACCAAACCTGTAATCCTCTGTCATTTCCCCAACTGCTCTACCTATAAACAGTACAGTGAAATCATATTCATTAACTTACACAAATCAGAAAAAAGAGAAAGAAAACCCACACAAATCTCTGTAGGACTGTCAGAAAAAAAGAGAAAGAAAACCCACACAAATCTCTGTAGGACTGTCAGAAAAAAGGGAAAGAAAACCCACACAAATCTCTGTAGGACTGTCAGGAAAAAAGAGACAGAAAACCCACACAAATCTCTGTAGGACTGTCAGAAAAAAGGGAAAGAAAACCCACACAAGTCTCTAGGACTGTCAGGAAAAAAGAGACAGAAAATCCACACAAATCTCTGTAGGACTGTCAGAAAAAAGGGAAAGAAAACCCACACAAATCTCTGTAGGACTGTCAAAAAAAAGGGAAAGAAAACCCACACAAATCTCTGTAGGACTGTCAGAAAAAAGGGAAAGAAAACCCACACAAATCTCTGTAGGACTGTCAGGAAAAAAGAGACAGAAAACCCACACAAATCTCTGTAGGAAAAATCTCTGTCAGAAAAAAGGGAAAGAAAACCCACACAAGTCTCTAGGACTGTCAGGAAAAAAGAGACAGAAAATCCACACAAATCTCTGTAGGACTGTCAGGAAAAAGGGAAAGAAAACCCACACAAATCTCTGTAGGAATGTCAGAAAAAATGGAAAGAAAACCCACACAAATCTCTGTAGGACTGTCAGGAAAAAAGAGAAAGAAAACCCACACAAATCTCTGTAGGACTGTCAGAAAAAAGGAAAGAAAACCCACATAAATCTCTGTAGGACTGTCAGAAAAAAGGGAAAGAAAACCCACACAAATCTCTGTAGGACTGTCAGAAATGAAGAGAAAGAAAACCCACACAAATCTCTGTAGGACTGTCAGAAATAAAGAGAAAGAAAACCCACACAAATCTCTGTAGGACTGTCAGAAATAAAGAGAAAGAAAACCCACACAAATCTCTGTAGGACTGTCAGAAATAAAGAGAAAGAGACATATGTACAACTTTGGACCAAACTTCGGAAATATCAAACAGTGCTGTCAATAATGAAAACTGATTACATAGGGATAGAGAAAAGGAAGGACGACAGACCATAGATAAATTTGAACACCACAGCTAACATATATATCGTATTTTAGTGCTTTTTGAGATCTGGATATTGGACTAAAACATTGTGACGGTTTCTCTATGTTGTTTATATATAGCAATTATGTACAAATTCATCATTGTGCTTATTTCCCCCAAAATTTCACAGCACTGAAATAAGTATTTTTACAGTTATGTCATCGAAAACCCAGTAAAAAGAGACATGACATACCTATATCTCCTGCTAGCAACGCTAGTGCATCTCGGAATCGGGTCATTGTGTCCGATGGATCAGCCAGGAAGTACAGATCTACAGGATAGTTTTTTGCTACACGGTATGTGATGTTCCATTTAAATATCTTATCTGTAATATAAACAGAATATAAGTAATTAATGCTCCCTGAAAATGAGTTTTTGGACACAGAATTTTAACAAAGGGCAATAACTCTTCAAGGGTTTCCGCCTGTGAATTTGCCACTGCAAATGTTCCAATGGCTGATATATATATTACCCTAATTTAACACAAGTTAGTTATAATTCAGACTTGACATTTTAACAAAGGGCAATAACTCTGTAATTGAGGAGTTGTGGACCCTGAATAAGGTACATTGTGCTTTGTCTTAGTATGATCAATGAATACACCAAGTTTTAAGTTTTATAAAGCTTGCTTAACTGTGGGCACAGTTATGCTCTAAACACAAAAGTATGGAAGAGTAAAATGAAGAGCATCATCTGGACATAGGTTTCGGACCAATATGTATTTCAGAACGGCCATTTTGTCAAGGAGTATCACATGCACTATTGACTTGCATGACCTCACACCCTAATAATTATGGTTACTGTAACATGTCTCACGTCCAGAAAGAATAAAATATAGTGATTTAAACCAAAGATACCAGTACACCAGTACGAGACGTCAGTTCAAAGTTTTTTACAAGTACCTGTCCATCACAGGTTTGTGACCGAAACAGATCATCTAGAACTGTCACTTGCAAATGTATACAGTATGATTTTACGATTGAAACTAAAATTACATTCTGGTGGATTTAATTAATTACACATTTTAATATGAATCAAGATAATCACAGTAGTAGCTTCTGAACTTCTTGCTGTTGCTTCAGAAGCCATAGCTTGTTTACGACAAGAATAGCTTCATGTAAGAAATAATATGGCACTAAAAGAATCTGTGAGCACATCGATGGAGATATTGTTAAGTAAACCGTACATAACTTCAGGCCCTATATCGGTGCGTTGACAATCTTTGAAGGCTCCAAAGCCAAACAAGATTGATAATTGATATTTAACGTTTCTGAAACATGTCAATAAAAAAAAGGATTATCTGTGTCTAATTTATTGCAAACTTATATTAAATGTTTCATTGACGATCTTGATAAATTGCCCTCCGTTATCTGTTATTTCAACAAACTTTGGTCAACATAACGGTTACTGCATTGTAGGAAAGGGTGTGGCTTAAATTCTGGTGAGTTTTATACTAGGATGCGGTTTATAACCTGGAAAATACGGTAAATGCTTTTTACATCATTAGAATAATGGTAAATGCTTATTAGGATTAAGGTAAGTGTTCCATACCATTAGGATTAAGGTAAACTTTAACGTGTTGTGGCTGAAGCTGAATAGCATTAGTCGAACCATCCTCAGCACGATTCTGCACAGCTTCATTCTGAAAAAATCACATTGAAACAGTAATTAGAATTTAACCTAAAGTAGATAAATTTGAATGATTTGGCTTTAATGTTAAAATTAGCTTGAAAATAAAAAGTAACATAATGACAAGAATTGACAAAAGCAGCAAACATGCAGTGTATCTCAGCCTAAATATTTATCATGATTTCAAATTTTACAAACATAAAAAAAAATAATGAAAAAAAAAAATCCCCTAAGCTTTAATTTTCAAAATCCAATATGGCCATCTGTAAGACATTTTTGTTTTGTTTTGAGCAGTCCTAAAATTGAACTTGCACATCTATGGACCAAGGGCAGTCTATATGTAGGAAATTTTAGAAAAGCTTTATCAAATGCTTCCCATCAAATAGAGGCAACAAACTTCAAATTTCAAAATCCACTGTGGCTGTCTGTCATATGGCTATGCACAACCAAGGAAACGGGGGAGTCTATAGAGTGGTTCATCCAGTATTTCTCATGTACCAGCGATAACAAGAATTGTTTAGGGATAATCCACAGACAAAGGGGGAATTCCTGTCAATATCATTTTTATCTATAAAACCAACATATATTGGTGTACAGCATAACTATTTAATGCATTTTTGCTGGTGAAATATTTATCAATCTGATAAAAACTTGTTTCATCATGATATATTTTTCCAGGTACAACTTTCATAGTTTTGACCAGTGCTTTCTAGTTCTCAATGATAGTCCTGTTCGGGTGAAAATGACATTGGTTTTCTATCAAACAATTCCCATGCCCATTTCTAGTTTTCTTTAATTTGTTTTATCTAAAGAATAGTTTGCAAGCAGTTCTGACCAAGTAACATTATAAAATAGTAGATTACCATGGACTTGTTGTCCAATAAATTTTTGAATAACTGGTTTATTTGACAAATTGATCTGCCATTTTTTCTTCTAAAAATGAAATAACAAGAAAATTAAATGGTTTCCCATTAACATGTTTATTTTATTCAAACGATAGAATACATCTAAATAGAGATGTTCAATCATACTCCTGAAATAATATGGTATTAAATGGGAAAAACCATTAAATATCCTCTACATAAAATGTTGTTTCTTTGTCTGATGAGAATGTTTGTGTTGGACTGCTGGGCTTGTTTTCAGGATTCAATACTTAGCCTAAGCTCCAGACGAAGTTTACCTTGATATATTCAATTCTCTGTTCTCCTCTTTTTTCGATAATGGTGCAGTTGTGTCGTTGGAGCTCCTCCATAGTTCCACATCGACTTGCATTGAATCCCTGCAGTGAACAGAAGGGTCAACAACTTCATCATATAAAAATTACATCTCAGTAGAAGTCAAAGGTAACAGGTCAAAGGTGACATTATGCATTGGACAGGATAACAACTAGTAAAATATGGAAGGGAGACAACTCTTCTTCTTTTGATATATACCTATAGATGAACAAGATTCCAGCATGGAAGAATCAAGCATCAGGGTATTTACTTACAACCAAGTAACCGAAGTATTTGCTAAACTCCAATGAACATCAGTAAAATATTGTAACAGAAGTATTTGTCTAACTCTTGGGCACACCAGCAAAATATTGCAAGAGAAGTATTTGCCTAACTCTTGGACACACCAGTAAAATATTGCAACAGAAGTATTTGTCTAACTCTTGGGCACACCAGCAAAATATTGCAAGAGAAGTATTTGCCTAACTCTTGGGCACACCAGTAAAATATTTCAACAGAAGTATTTGCCTAACTCTTCAGCACACAAGCAAAATATTGCAAGAGAAGTATTTACCTAACTCTTGGGCACACCAGCGAAATACTTATGTTACAGAAGTATTTGCTTAACTCTTAAGAACACCAGTAAAATATTGTAACAGAAGTATTTGCCTAATTCTTTAGCAAACTAGCAAAATATTGTAACAAAAGTATTTGCCTAACTCTTGGACACACCAGCAAAATATTGTAACAGAAGTTTTTTCCTTACTCTTAAGCACACCAGTAAAAACTAACAGACGTATCTGCCGAACTCTTGAGCACAGAAGTAAAATATTGTAACTTAAGTATTCTTCTACCTCTTGAGCACACCAATAACAATTTGTGCCACTAATGACACACTCTCCACATCGTCGTCCGGCACATGTCTGCTGACCATCAATCACTACAAAAAAAAAAAAAAGCCAAGAGTATCAGTGAAACTGATGAATACTCTCCAAAACTGACTTTACTGATCACAATATTTTAACACAGAGCAATAATTGTGTAATTAAGGGGTTGCAGGCCTTGGATTTGGAATAGTTTAGAACCAATATATACACCAAGTTCATTATCCTGGTTTTAATAACACTAGGCTTAGAAGTCATGGGACTGATTTTTACAATACTGCCCCTTGATTTTTCACGACTGATATGTATGTCATGTTTCAAATCCTAGTTTACTTGCAGGCAAAGTTATGCTCTGGACATAAAACTTTAACAAAGGGCGATGACTCAGGGGTAACAGGCCCTAAAATTGGTACACTGCATATTTTCTTTGTATGATAAATGTATACAACAAATTTCATTATTCCAGCTTCGATGCAAGCAAAGTTATGCTCTGGAAAATACCATTGTAATAAATGGCAATAACTGTAATTAAGGGCCCTGTATCTGGTACATAGCACATTGTGTTAGTATGATTAATGCATGCACTAAGTTTCATGATCCTTGTTTTTTTATGGTGTGATCCAGATGGATAGAAAGATAGATGAAGGAAAAGGCAGTGATCACAGGGTTACATGGAAATTTTAGAGAGCATAAAATGGTTCAGGTAGGGGAGATAATTACTACCAGTAGGGGAGATAATTACGATCAGATGGGGGATATAATTACAATCAGGTGGGGGAGAGATATACTATTAGAAAGGGGAGATAATTATGGCAGATTAGAGACAAAGGTAGCAGTATACAGTTTCTCTGTGTGGCCATAGGTGATATTTTTGTACTTTAGATGACACAATTATAAAGGTTTTGATTAAAATTCAAAACACAAAAAAACAAAATCGGTCTTGTCAAGCAGATAATGCGGGGTTTAATATTTTTCAGAATAATATTTTTGCAATGTGTTGTGGATAGCTATTTGGACTGTTCAAATCTGTGTCTACACACCAAAAATAGCCTAACAGTGTGTAAAAGTTTCCTAGTATTACAAGTGGTCATGTTGTGATGGCATTCCAAGTTGGAATTAACTGAAATTAAAGTAGCTTATTTCCATGACAGTGTTGTTGATTTTAAGATAGCTGTTAAGAAATAAACATTTTCTGTATAAAATTGTAGTGTTAGGTTGAAATGAATAGTATTTTTGCATTTTTAGCATTTTTTTGTGTTGGTAACCATGGCAGTCACATGTCTTAAATCAGAGGAATTTTTCATTTCTGTAATATTAATATAATTGTTATGTTATTTATTAAGTTATATACATGTACTGATGCATTTTTCATAATCAAACTGCTCTACCTGTATATCTCAAACATGACCAAAACTTTCAGAAAAATACAAAATTACAGGTAGGGGAGACAGCCTCTACACGTATAGGAGATAATTTACTATCTGGAAGGGGAGATAATTACTATCTGGAAGGGGAGATAGGTACTTAATTACAATTAATCAAAGTACTGAAAGTACTGAAAGGCAAAACATATTGAAAAATGTTCACAAATAACCGCAAAGCTATATCACTTTCCCCATACTCCTACACTTTGGAATGCAAAAATTAACTAAAATAAGAGAACCAGAGGCTATTTTTCTAAATTTTAAGCGATTTTATATCTTCTTTAATTCTTATTTCAAATTTGACGACAATAATGTGAACAAATTAATATAGGTAAAAAAATAACAAAATACACACAACCATATATTTATCGCCAACAAGCCAAATGATAAATAGCGCTATGATGAAGTTGACTAAATAAAACCTTTGAAATACCCAAGATGTTGCAATTACTATGCTATCAATATGAGGATTTAGACAAATCGAAAGGACTTTATACCTACTTCTTTATTTTGAATGTATTGCAAAGTAATAGTCCTTACTTATTATAATTATATTTGTAGTTGAGGAAAGTACATAAGGTGTACACAGCATTTCAGATAGATAAAAGTGTAAGTAATTACATTAAATGTGTTTATATGCCTATCTTCCTTGAAGTATCATGGTTAGACTTTTCTTCCAGTAATTATGTCTATAAAGACATAGTTCTTTGAAATTAAACCAGACTTCCATATATATACAAAATTTACAATATTTTCACTATAGCTACTACTATTTCTGATCTCCAATGCATTAGATAATGTCAACATGACACGCTAAATGAATAAATATGTTATGGAAATATTTCGTTCTAGTTAATTGATAATTATAAACATGAATATTTTGGGGTTTTTTTTATATGCGGTTTGTTTGAAGGAATATTTTCATTTCAAGGAACTTTGATACACATTAACAAACCTTGAGAAATCAGCACAATCAACCTTCATCAAATAAAACTAAAAGACAAAAAATATAAGTTATAACAAAGTCAACATCATGATCAGTACAGTATTAAAAATATATTATTCATAAATCATGAGCACCAAATGTACCTTGCCTACTAAGCACAAACTTTTTATCTTCAAAAACTTGAAAAAGTGTCATGGCGGTGGGTGTGAAAAACCTGAAAAAGTGTCATATCGGCGGGTGTGCGCGTGGGACAAACAGTCCAATTCGGTGACGTCTACTGAGGTAAAATGATGTTATATATTAAGACGATCTTGCCACAACGACAAGGATTAAAACAAAATTGATGTTCTGTTTGTAAGTTTTGTTTGTTTATCAGTGCTGTTAGTTGATAATTCAAACCAAGCCCTAAGGCTAGCTTCTTATCAACTTGCACGTACAGTGTTCTGTACGCTTACGTCATGTCGAGAATTCCGTAACATATATTGTTCAAAATTTATCAATAGTTCAACCACACTGTGCTTCTTTTTTTAAATATATAGTATTCGTATTGTTATTAAAAAAAATAAACTAATTTTGGATGCTTTTAAAATAGCGATTTGAAAGATCACGGCATTATTTACACAGAAAAATGCTGCTAGAGGGCTCTAACTCTTTTCAATATTTCAGCCAATGAGAAGGCCAGAATTGGTAAATTTTGTCTGAAAGGCCGTTGCAATAGGCTACGCATACTTAGTACATTTAGCCTAAAAAGGAGAAATAATTACTACTTGGTAGGGGAGATAATTACTATCTGGAAGGGGAGATAAGTACTCAAGATAGAGGTGATAATTACTACTTGGTAGGGGAGATCATTACTACTTGGTAGGGGAGATAAATACTACTTGGTAGGGAAGATCATTACTATCTGGAAGGTGAGATAATTACTATGTGGAAGGCGGGATAATTACTATCTGGCAGTGGAGATATTTACTATCTGGAAGGGGAGATAATTACGAAACGGAAGGGGAGATAATTACTATCTGGCAGGGGAGATCATTACTATCTGGAAGGCGAGATAATTACTATCTGGCAGGGGAGATCATTACTATCTGGAAGGCGAGATAATTATGATCTGGAAGGGGAGATAATTACTATCAGGAAGGCGAGATAATTACTATCTGGAAAAGGAGATCATTACTATCTGGAAGGCCACAGATAATTTCTATCAGGAAGGAGGGATATGCATAACAAGTTAGGGACATATTCACTGCAGGTAGGGGAGATAATTTCTATAGGTTAGGGGGATAATTGCTATTAGACAGAGATAATTACTGTAGCACAGGGGAGATAATTATGACAGGGTAGAGATATAGTTACTACAAGTACGGAAGATAATTAATAATAGATAGAGATAATTATGACAGGGTAGAGATATAGTTACTACAAGTACGGAAGATAATTAATAATAGATAGAGATAATTATGACAGGGTAGAGATATAGTTACTACAAGTACGGAAGATAATTAATAATAGATAGAGATAATTATGACAGGGTAGAGATATAGTTACTACAAGTACGGAAGATAATTAATAATAGATAGAGATAATTATGACAGGGTAGAGATATAGTTACTACAAGTACGGAAGATAATTAATAATAGATAGAGATAATTATGACAGGGTAGAGATATAGTAACTACAAGTACGGAAGATAATTACTATTATGTAGGAGAGGTAGTCAGGTTATGGACAAGGACATAATCATTGTGAGGAAAATTGAGGATAACTTCTGTAAAATATTTAATCATTTCTATCATTATTGTAAATGAGAGATATTTACTTCGAAAAGCCACCTAATGTACACCAGATGGTGGACTTAACTCACTAAAACGTAACAAAGTCATGGCAAGGTAATGGATTGTGTAGGACAGAGATGACTTTGGTAGAATTTAGACAAGGGTTTCCAAGATGCTACAAGAATCCCGTCTAATCAGTTTTGCTTTCGCTATAATTTTTGACCATTTGAATGGAATGCTAATCTGCTAGATGTTAAAGCATGTGGTGTTTAATCTACTAGTCAAAGCATCTGGGAAATGAAACACGTTCTTATCTCTCACGGTCTGCCTCCCTTCAGGTCTACGATATACAGACGCCTGCATAGTGTAAACCACGTCTAGTTTATATAACTAATTCCGCTGTATATCAGGGATACCCTGAACATCCAGTACAGTTCTGTTAGTACAAATCAAAATAACTTAAAACAATCATTTAAATTCGTTTCAACCGACGAAGGGTACGTAAGTCTCTTGTTCTCGAGATTTGAAATAGTTTCAGATAAACCGAACATTATATCATCAATACTGGTCAGATATATATAAATTAACATTAGGATTGTCTGCTGAGTGTACAGTGTACATTCACGGCTGGATTCGAAAAAATAATATCACTGAACTCACCATTGAACAGGACGCTGACACTAATGGCTGCCACTAATAACTCCATAGTTAGGTGATGTTACAACGCTGCAGCTGGCCCTAACAGTGAAACCCTTTTCCTAAGAAATCTGAAAATGTAAACTTAATAAGTTACAGCCTTGTAGCATACGTCACACAACTGTAATGTTTGCCAGTGGACTCCGATATTTCATGCTTATTTATGTGGGCGCGGACGATATGTACCGAGGACAGGATGTAGACACTAACTCTACAGGATGTCAAGCTAAGCCCTGCTTGGTAGAACGTGTTAACATAGACCCGGAAATAGGATTTCAAGTATCGACAGAAATATGTATTTTATGATATTCTTGTACATGTAAACATAATAGATATTTATAGTTGAATAATTACATTCCCCAAACATCCTTTAGCTTGAGCTGAAGAAATTAATTTTTTATCAACCGGGCTCTTCTTCCTCAGCATTTCTTTCTCCCTTACTCACTCGTTCCCTTTATACCTCTTTTTCCCCGCGCAACCCTCCCCCCTCTCTCTCTATCCTTCCAACTCTTCTTGTTATACGATCTCCCAAGTAAACGTGACAACGACTGCGACAGGTTACCAGTTCCTCCTGTCACCACTGCGTGATTGTAAGAGGTGGCAAAATTTAGAATCAGATTTTGTTTCCTCTTTCTTAACATTTATATTATCTTCCTAGTGTCTCTCTCCGCAACGCCTCACTTTTGTCCTTTAACAGGGAGAGAGAGAGAGAGAGAGAGAGAGAGAGAGAGAGAGAGAGAGAGAGAGAGAGAGAGAGAGAGAGAGAGAGAGAGAGAGAGAGTAGAATTTAAGTTAACATTTTTGGATTTCCTGACATAAAGGGTCAGGATGATAGAAGCCATCATCATATCGTCCGTTGTCGCGTGCCACCCGTCGTGCTTAGAATTTCCATTCAAACGACATCTTCTCAATAACTAAAAAGCCCATGGTGTTAATAAAAACGGTCCTGTAGCCCAAGTTTGTTCAAGCGAATTGGCTTGATCTACTTTCAAGGTCACAAAGGTCATATGGGTTAAAATGTTAAACAATTTCTTTTCAATAAGCAAAATACACTAGGGTTCTGATTTTGCGAAAACAGCATGCTGAGTTGAACAGCTACCAAGTTTGTTCCGATGAATGACCCTGACCCATTTTCAAGGTTACAGGGTCAAACGTGTTCAGTCTTCAAACAACTTCACAATAACCAACTGTCATTGGGTCTGTATCATGGCGGGACGACGGTCTTCCAACTTGGTTAAGATTGATTATCTTGGCCCACTTTCAATGTCAAATGTGTCAAATGTTTTAATATTTTCAATTGACGTTTTCTCAACACATAAAATTATCCAACGTTCTGATATTGGGTCTGTACCATGCTGGGATGAAGGGCTACAAAGGTTGTCAAAATGAATGACCCCGACCAACTTTCAAAATCACAGGTGTCAAATGTTTTCACTCACTCATTCATTCATTCATTCATTCATTCGACATAAAATGTAGAGCTACTTAGTGGGTGACGTCATAGAAGTCGACTTATACTTTTCCAGAACGTCTAGTTCTATTTCACTCATGGCTTTTTAAAACGTATCCGTGCAAATCTTTAGATTGCGCTTTGGTTGTAGCTATATCCGGTGAACCGATGATAGTAAATCAGGAATGAGATATACTGACGTTGCAACCATCTGATTAAACGATTGAATATCCTTGTGAAGTTTGGTTCCGATATATTCTATTAGATCATTGACATATCCGCGGGAACTTAGTCAGTGTCCTCTTATGGCCATTTTTTTTTACATGAACCGAGCTAAATTTATCTAAGAGGAGAGCCGAATTTATTGAAGAGGAGGGCCGAATTTATCGAAGAGCCAGGCTGAATTTATCGAAGAGCCAGGCTGAATTTACCGAAAATATTTACTTAAAACACAATAAAAAGAGACAGGTGAAGATAAGCTTAATAATTTCAACTACCTTTTCCATTTCTAGATAGTAACAAACCCGATTAACATCAGGTAATTTTGTAACGCACGGTTCCGAGTGACATGAGTTGATTGGGTTTTGTTTGTCGCTATGGTCTTATTGGAAATATTCTTTTCCCGTCTGCGATGATTTTTATTGTTTTCGATACTCATAATTGTTTCTAGTCGATTCTTTCAATAAAGTGGTTCTCATTGAAAACTTTATCATATTTACCAGGATTTGACATAGAATGTAGAACTATTTAGCAAGTGTTGTCGTAAAAGTCGACTTCTACTTTCCCAGGACATCTAGCTCTAATTCACTCGTATTTCTCAAAAGTTATTCATGTAAATCTTTCATTAAGATGCCTGTATTTCCTTATTTGGACATATACGTATGAAAGGTTAACTACGTCACAAGGCCATTACAAACACTGGTCCTGCTCACGTTTTACGGTCACCATAGTGATCTCGTTGAGAAATAGTCCATCTCTTTGTGCGATATGAAATTGGACGTGTTTGCTGCTCGTCAGGTTGCTTTTGAATCCGTTGTTGTATACTTTGTTATCATTTGAGAACGTGGTATTACTTTCTTGGATTGACCTAGATTTATAGGACGGTCGTCGTCGATGAAGCAGAAGACCCTTACCCTTCGGAACTCCCGGTCATTAATCCCTATACTTCAGCAGGAGTATCCGTTAAGTCCAGTTTTATTGAATTTGAGTTTGAATGATGATTACGTTGACTTTCTTTTTGTTTTATTGTGAGACGGCAGTTTTTGAAACAAAACGTTGTAAGATGTACAAAATAGCTGAAACACCATACCGTATACATGCATTTGAAGTCCACTTACCGGTCACTAAAACAGATGAAATATGATAAGGCGAATTAGTACTCTAATGACACAATCTCTGGCTAATGTGATTCCATAACACAAATACGAAGATCCAGCGAAAAGTAGTGGACAGAACACAAACTTTCTTTGATGTAGGTCAAAATGCAGATCAGAGTGACCAACTTTAAATACAGAACACACTGCCTCGCCAAGGTAAACCAACATGAAAAGTATGAAATTTCCATAATAAATAGTATAGGAGATAGGGCCCGGACAAACTTTTCCTTTGATGAAAGTTAAATGTCAAAATGTTGGTCAATGTGACATACTTCTGAAGCATGACACACCTACTCATCAAAGTGAAGTCATACCTCAAGTAATAAATTAGTGATGTAGAAGATGGAGGACAACAAATTTTTTCTTAGAATTATGTCAAAGGTCAAAATGTAGGTCAGAGTGACCTACTTTTGATACATGACCCACTTTCTCAACACAGTATACCCATATCCCAAGTATTAAGTTCCTGTAGTGTAGAAGATTGATAAACACATCAAGGACCAATATCCTGTGTTCACCAAGTGATGAGAAACTAAGAGCTTAATCTCACTTACTCTTTTAAGAGGTGAGCTAAAAAACAAAAGGTCACTTTTAGGTTTGTTAATACATTTATTTGGCATAACAAAGTATGAAAATGCATATGTTGACAAAGAATATGATAATTACACAATATATCTATTTAAGAATATTTTAAAAATGATTATTGACAATAAAATTAAAATAATTAAATCATAATTTGTCCATATAAATGAAGAGCACCATACAAGATTCTTTGGCTAACAGTGTCAAGTGTGACACTGGAGAAGAAATTCTGTCTGTTGTTCTAAAAAAGGAGTCTACAAACTTTGAATAGAAACTGAGCATATTATCTTTATCAAAAAAGTTTTGAATAATATCTTTAAGAAAATAAACATCACCAATAAAGAAGTTTGTGATTGATCCTGGGAGGGGACCATACACCCTCCAATTTTGTTCTCCCTCCCCCCGTCAATGTTTAATCCTCCAATGGGATGTACTTTACAAGATACAGGATTCAAAAAGATAATCACTTTAATGCTTCAAAATGTACATACAGTAAAAAAGAAAATAAAATAAAACCACACACACACAAATATGATCCGTTAATTGAAAATGTTTCAATGAAATGCATGATAGAAACTGCCGATGAAAGCGTTATAATGACAGCAAAGTGTTAAGCGGACGGCAGTGAAAATACAACTTCTGTTCTGTATGATCTTAAAACAATAATATATGAATATACAAATACACTTTAACAAAATACAATAACATAAAAACTCTACTATACATTGATGGGATTGTGTAAACTTTGACAATGAACTAAACATATTGATCTTCACTTGATGTGATGCAGCCTCAGTAAAGTCAAACTTTTGTGTTGTCTTAGCTGATTGTAATTAGAAATTAAAAAATCCAAATTCTTTGCACTTCTATTTGATTTGTACATATTGACACAAGCAATTCTCAGGGTGATATACTGTGTTGGATTGATTTTCAAAACACTAATACTGTTTCAGGTTTAGATCAGAGGTCTTTCAAACTCTTTATTTTAGGCTATTTTTGAAGTCTTCTCTCAGTCCTCTTTATTTGTTAAGTCCTGGTGGGTAAAACAACCGTTTCCAGGAAACTGTTTTGGTCAAATTTCATCAAATGGAAGTGGTAAAATTCCAAAGTGAATGAAACTTACAGAACATTAACTATTCTGCTATGTCTCTTTACATGATGTATATCTGGATTTAATGTTATCTAAAAATATAGAACATCGTGTCCTAGTTTTATCAGAAACTAGAGTAAAGCTTGGCCTAGTTCTATCAGAAACTAGAGTAAAGTTTGTCCTAGTTCTATCAGAAATTACAGAACATCTTGTCCTAGTTTTATTAGAAACTAGAGTAAAGCTTGGCCTAGGTCTATCAGAAACTAGAGTAAAGTTTGTCCTAGTTCTATCAGAAATTACAGAACATCTTGTCCTAGTTTTATCAGAAACTAGAGTAAAGCTTGGCCTAGTTCTATCAGAAACTAAAGTTAATTTTGTCCTAGTTCTATCAGAAACTAAAGTACAAATGGTCCTAGTTCCGAGTAAATTTCAGTATCAATATAAAGTAAAAAATTTTCCACCAGCAACAAGAAAAAGGGAACAAGTTATGACCAAGGATTGTCAGCATACAGTTGCCAATGAGAGTGGAGTAATGCTTTGTTTGTAGTTTTGTGGTTTGTAACAAGTGGGAGAGCTTACAACTGTATCTCTATGGTAACAAATATAACACACACAATCCGCGGTAAACAGCTCCTTCAATCAGCTTGACAACAAAATGTATTTTACATAATCAGTGAGAAACATCCATAAAGTTCTAAACTAATTTACACTACAGGTTAATCTATCATGAAAAAACTCAATAAACAGTAACAAAGATTTATCATCATTCTGGCTAAGTTTAAAAATAGAAAACTGTTTTACAATGCATACTTGCTCAATGGGTTAATAACATGTTGACTGGCTTTGTTGTAGGTTGTTTAACTTAAGGAACAAATTGAATTACAATGAATTATCTCAAAATTTGTTTCAAAGGAATCATTCTCCTTCTTGTCCAATAGAATTCTTGACTTTTATAGAATTTTTTTAATATCAACAATTGTTCCTATCTGTCTACCTGAGATCCCAGTGTTAAAATCTACAATGATGATGAGATACACATACACAAATTATAACTTAAATCATGTTTGTATGTATATATATATACATAAAGCTTACATTGGTATACTATATTCTTTTTATGTACAGTTACTGTTTACATAATTATTATATATACAATCTCCTACTTTGTATATTTTCTCGTGACTTTCAAAATAAAAAGAAACGGAAATCCTAAAGATAAGTTGACATATTCAATCTGAATTTACTGTCTGTCTACACAGCTGATAAAGTATCTCTACAACACAACTTTGCCTTTCTACAAGACAGCTCTGCCTCTACACCACAAATTTGCCTCTGTACACTACAGCCTTGCCTCTATACACCACCATCCTGCCTCTCTACACTACAGCCCCGCCTCTTTTCACCACAACCCTGCCCCTCTACACTACAGCCCCACTTCTTTTCACCACAACCCTGCCTCTCTACACTACAGCCCCACCTCTTTACACCACAACCCTGCCTCTCTACACTATAGCCCCATCTCTTTATACCACAACCCTGCCTCTCTACACTACAGCCCCACCTCTTTACACCACAACCCTGCCTCTCTACACTATAGCCCCATCTCTTTATACCACAACCCTGCCTCTCTACACTACAGCCCCATCCCTTTTCACTAAAACCGGCCTCTTGACACCATAACCCACCTCTCTATACCACAACTCCGCCTCTATACACTAAAGCCCTGCCTCTCTGCACTACAGCCCTGCCTCTTTACAACCACAACCCACCTCTCTACAAATAGTTAACACAGCTTTGCCTTCCTACATGCAGTGAGAGCAACAGAAACACATTTGGAATCTCGTCATTATTTCATAATATTTCTAATCCTATAAAACATACTTCTCTTTGTGATGTATCAAACCGAAGGCACGACCATTCTACAATCTCTAGCAAAAAACCTTCACTCCACGAGGTGTTCTCTGCCAAGTCAACTTTAAAAATCATGTGTCACTCACAATAAACATAAATTTACAGACATGATGGCACTTTCTCTTGACAAAAACAATCTTTAAAACTATTAAATTCATGATTATTACAAAGATGAAAATAGACAATAAAACAATATCAGCAGATCTAACAATGACTGTTCATCTTGGATGACATAACAATGAACTCTTAGTTTTACATGAAAGTCATTAAATATGTAAATCTCCATTCCTACCACAAAGTTTCAAAAATTTATACCAAAAACGTTTAAAGAGATAGAAAAATTTGTGCCTAAAACAAATTGAATAAACATAATTTTTACAAAGTCATGTAAATTTTGTACAAAATGTTGTAATATTAGTACTGTATCTCCACAGATACAAGTTATTAGTATATAACTGAAGAAGGGGGAGTTACAAGCCTTTCCTAAACAACTTCTGACAAAAAGAGAACCAAAACAGGGTAAAAAATATCAAATGATCTTACTATCTTACATCACTCCTACACGGACAGTCAGGAGGGATGTAGGATTCATACTTATAGAGTTACAACCACTACCAGAACTCCACCCAAACATCTTTAAATTTTTGTGATAGGATACACAGGTATCCAATTATGTAGTTAAATAAATGAGAACTCATTCATTGTTCTCCTGTGTAGGTCTAACATACTAAAACTGATGCATCAACAATTTTTCACAAAACCGGAAGGTAGGGAATTCATAGCGGCCACAAAAAACCTGATGTAACATCTCAACCTTTCAAGTTCCATTAAAATAACATAGATTACAACTATTTCCACACACACATACCTAATCATTTCAAAATATTCTGTTTCATTTATAAAACGCTAACACTAGTACAAACTTAAGCCTATCAGAAACACAGAAATGGCTTGTTTGTGAATCTGTTAAAGGAACTTTAACAGTCTTTCTGTGTAAAACCCCTGTTTCTGTCATCACATATATACCAGTGGAGAATCCCAAGTGTTGGTATCAATACATGTATTAAAAAACTGAATATCCAGTTAGACAAATTCTCTATATCGCCCAGTCAGTTGAGAAAGAAGGTTCTCTAATGTATCAGACACACATTCACTTGAGTATTGTTATTTACAACCAAAGATCTATCAAGTTTCAGATTTGTTGGTCTCTTCTCAATTGTTTTCTCTCACACTCTCATCCTCTCCAGCTTTTGGTCTTCTCTAAATGACAACCTCTCCTTGCTTTCTTTCTCTCCCTCATCCAAAAACTCTATCTTGTCTTATTCTCTCGCTATTTCTTGCTTCAATGTATATGAAATACTTCAAGATTTGGAATTGACAAAATTTTCAGCACATAGGTTTGTTGACTCGCTTTTCTATTTTCCAGCGTACGTTGGATTCTTGAATGTTGAAGTAGCTTGTCTGTAGATAGGGTTCTCTCCCTGTCAAAAACAAAAAAGAAATTAAGTTCAAAGTTCTCCCTCCGTGAAAAAACCCAACATAAATTCAAAAACAATGATATAAGCTCAAAGTTCTGATCCTGTTGTTCATAATTTTTTAATAGAAACAGTCTTTCTCTCTTTATCTATGCCTGATGACATTAGTGCTGACATCAGTGAGATCTCTTGAAGTGAGAAATATAAAAGAATGATGAAAAGAACGATAAAGAGGTATCTGTGACTTTTTTGTATTCATACAAATTACAAACTTCAAAATGATTTCATTTTAACAATTACTTACGGTGTCCCACTTAGCATCTTGTGTCTCCTTCTCAAAACGAGCTAGCTCTCTCTTGTCACTGATGGTAGTAACAAGCTTCCATACTAACAAGATAGCCAGGCCTACAGCGACGATTCCTCCAATCACGCCCAGCACAATAGCTAGTACATTGACCTGTTTAGGACATTCTAGAACAGAAAGAGAGAACTTATAGTATTCGTTGTGTCATTTGTATGTATAATATAATGCTTAGCTGGTTAACTGTATGTAATTGTAACTACACTGGGACCCACATAAGTACATTGGAAACCATACAACTACATGAGGACCAACATGAGTACACTGAGAAGCACATAACTACATGGGGACCCATATAACTACATGGGGAACCATGTAACTACATGGGGAACCAAGTAACTATATGGGGACCAACATGAGTACACTGAGAAGCACATAACTACATGGGGACCTACATGAGTACACTGAGAAGCACATAACTACATGGGGAACCATATAACTGCATGGGGACCAATATGAGTACACTGAGAAGCACATAACTACATGGGGAACCAAGTAACTACATGGGGACCAACATGAGTACACTGAGAAGCACATAACTACATGGGGAACCAAGTAACTACATGGGGACCAACATGAGTACACTGAGAAGCACATAACTACATGGGGACCCATGTAACTACATGGGGAACCATATAACTACATGGGGACCAAGATGAGTACACTGAGAAGCACATAACTACATGGGGAACCATGTAACTACATGGGGAATCAAGTAACTACATGGGGACCAACATGAGTACACTGAGAAGCACATAACTACATGGGGAATCAAGTAACTATATGGGGACCAACATGAGTACACTGAGAAGCACATAACTACATGGGGACCCATGTAACTACATGGGGAATCAAGTAACTACATGGGGAACAACATTGTACAGGTTTTACCTTTCGTTTCCTGTGCTTTGATCATCAGCTCATTGTTTGGCCCGTAGTCATAGGAGAAGAAGAAAATACAGTCATCTTCATCTTTGAATTCACAGCTGTTCTTCTCACCTGTTAACACAATTTTCAGATTTATTCAGCATGAAAAATCAAGGAATGACTGTATGGAACTATTTGAAGGGTTTTTGTGATGTAACTATGAATAAATTTACCCACCATCTAGTTCTGTGATTTTTGTGGTAAAGCTTGGGTATGACAATAGGTGAACTATCCTTCTGTCTAGTTCTGTGATTTTTGTGGTAAAGCTGGGATACAACCATAAGTGACAAATCCTACTGTGTAGTTCTGTGATTTTTGTGGTAAAGCTGGGGTACAACCATAAGTGACAAATCCTACTGTGTAGTTCTGTGATTTTTGTGGTGTAGTCTGGAGTATGACCCTAAGTGACCTATCCCACTGTCTAGTTCTGTGATTTTTGTGGTAAAGCTGGGGTATGACCATAAGTGACCTATCCTTCTGTCTAGTTCTGTGATTTTTGTGGTAAAGCTGGGGTATGACCATAAGTGTCATGTCCTACTGTCTAGTTCTGTGATTTTTGTGGTAAAGCTGGGGTATGACCATTAGTGACCTGTCCTACTGTCTAGTTCTGTGATTTTTGTGGTAAAGCTGGGGTATGACCATAAGTGTCATGTCCTACTGTCTAGTTCTGTGATTTTTGTGGTAAAGCTGGGGTATGACCATTAGTGACCTGTCCTACTGTCTAGTTATGTGATTTTTGTGGTAAAGCTGGGGTATGACCATAAGTGTCATGTCCTACTGTCTAGTTCTGTGATTTTTGTGGTAAAGCTGGGGTATGCCCGTAAGTGACCTATCCTTCTGTCTAGTTCTGTGATTTTTGTGGTAATGCTGGGGTACAATGATAAGTGACCTGTCCTACTGTCTAGTTCTGTGATTTTTGTGGTAAAGCTGGGGTATGACCATTAGTGACCTATCCTTCTGTCTAGTTCTGTGATTTTTGTGGTAAAGCTGGGGTACAATGATAAGTGACCTGTCCTACTGTCTAGTTCTGTGATTTTTGTGGTAAAGCTGGGGTATGACCATAAGTGTCCTATCCTTCTGTCTAGTTCTGTGACTTTTGTGGTAAAGCTGGGGTACAACCATAAGTGACTAATCCTTCTGTCTAGTTCTGTGATTTTTGTGGTGTAGCCAAGGGTATGACAAAAATTGACATGTCCTACCATCTAGTTCTGGGACTTTTGTGATGTAGCCTGGGGTACGACAGTCTCGGTCACATTCCTCCTTATTCTTGAGTCCGGTTTCATGGACAACACACTGGACACATGCCTTGTTCTTCTGACATACCTCCTGACAGGTCTAAAATAAAGCCAGAAAAATAAGTCAACAACAAGATAAAAAAAATAAATCAATTTCATTTAACAGTTGTCCTGACTAGACCTATATTACTGAGATTAAATTTCAAGCTATGGAAAATCGTCCTCTGGAGGAGGCAATCCTACCTTACAGCCAATCCACATCCGTTCCCTGAAGACTGACTCATCTTCACAGACCTACCTTACAGTCCTTACACTTTGGTCCTCTGAAGCCTGATGTAGGGTCATATGCCTACCTTACAGTCTATACACTTTGGTCCTCTGAAGGCTGATGTAGGATTACAGAACTACCTTACAGTCTCTGAAGATTGGTGTAGGATCACAAACCTACCTTACAGTCCTTACACTTTGGTCCTCTGAAGGCTGATGTAGGATCACAGACTTATCTTACAATTCATACACTTTGATCCTCTGAAGGCTGACCTAGGGTCACAGACCTACCTTACAATCCATACACTTTGGTCCTCTGAAGGCTGACGTAGGATCACACACACACTTGTTGCACTGACATGTTCCTTGGCCATTACAGATGGTGGTTGTCTACAAAACATCATCAGCATATGTCATCATAAAGACATCTACTGAACACATGTGATTACAGGATAGAAATGTGTGACAAAGGAAATGACATGTTACATAGGACAAATGATTTGATTGGCAATGTGTGACAAATGAATTGACTGGTGATGCATGACAAATGAATTGATCAGTGATGCATGGCAAATGAATTGATAAGTGACGTGTGACAAATGAACTGACAAGTGATGTGTGACAAATGAACTGACAAGTGACGTGTGACAAATGAATTGACCAGTGATGTGTGACAAATGAATTGACCACTGATGTGTGACAAATGAATTGACCAGTGATGTGTGACAAATGAACTGACCAGTGATGTGTGACAATTGATAGACAATTAGTGATACGGGTGATAATAGATGTATGATGATATACCTGTCCATTGGTAGTTAAACAAGAGTCGTTGGCTCTGGAGCAAGCACAATCAGGACCGGACCAACCAGAGTTACACTCACATACACCACACTTACAGGTTCCCTTTCCAGCACCTGAAAATCCCAAAATTATCACAATAACTAACCTACTTTTGAAACCACTTCCTGAATATATTCATTTAAAATCTTTAACATCATGGAATTTCCACACACTTCTAAGAGTCATTTCATATCTAACATGGCTACAATCAGAATATTAATTTGGACCAGTAGTTAATCAGGCCCCATCTTGCCCCTCTGATGGAAAAGGATGGTTTATAATTGACATTTTTAGCCCCTTTTCTTGCCTCTCTATCCTGCCCCTCTGGTTTACAAGAATATTTTAAAATTTCCATTATTACGCCCCTTTTCTTGCCCCTTAAATATTGTCCTTCTTGTATATAAGGATGCTTGAAAATTTCTTCTGAAAAAAAATGTTTTGTCATGTCCCTTCTCTTCCCCATCCTATTCCTTTACCTAACAAGGATGTTCTATACATAAGTCTCCCTCCACCCTGTTCCTTTACCTAACAAGAATGTTCTATACGTAAGTCTCCCACACCCTGTTCCTTTACCTAATAAGGATATTCTATACATAAGTCTCCCACACCCTGTTCCTTTACCTAACAAGGATGTTCTATACATAAGTCTCCCCCACCCTGTTCCATTACCTAACAAGGATGTTCTATACATAAGTCTCCCACACCCTGTTCCTTTACCTAACAAGGATGTTCTATACATAAGTCTCTCCCACCCTGTTCCTTTACCTAACAAGAATGTTCTATATATAAGTCTCCCCACCCTGTTCCTTTACCTAACAAGAATGTTCTATACATAAGTCTCCCTCCACCCTGTTCCTTTACCTAACAAGGATTTTCTATACATAAGTCTACCTCCACCCTGTTCCTTTACCTAACAAGGATGTTCTATATATAAGTCTTCCTCCACCCTGTTCCTTTACCTAACAAGGATGTTCTATACATAAGTCTCCCTCCACCCTGTTCCTTTACCTAACAAGAATGTTCTATACGTCAGTCTCCCACACCCTGTTCCTTTACCTAATAAGGATATTCTATACATAAGTCTCCCACACCCTGTTCCTTTACCTAACAAGGATGTTCTATACATAAGTCTCCCCCACCCTGTTCCATTACCTAACAAGGATGTTCTATACATAAGTCTCTCCCACCCTGTTCCTTTACCTAACAAGGATGTTCTATATATAAGTCTCCCCACCCTGTTCCTTTACCTAACAAGAATGTTCTATATATAAGTCTCCCCACCCTGTTCCTTTACCTAACAAGGATGTTCTATACATAAGTCTCCCTCCACCCTGTTCCTTTACCTAACAAGGATGTTCTATATATAAGTCTCCCCACCCTGTTCCTTTACCTAACAAGGATGTTCTATACATAAGTCTCCCTCCACCCTGTTCCTTTACCTAATAAGGAAATTCTATACATAAGTCTCCCCCATCCTGTTCCTTTACCTAACAAGGATGTTCTATACATAAGTCTCTCCTATCCTGTTCCTTTACCTAACAAGGATGTTCTATACATAAGTCTCCCACACCCTGTTCCTTTACCTAACAAGGATGTTCTATACATAAGTCTCCCCACCCTGTTCCTTTACCTAACAAGGATGTTCTATAATTAAGTCTCCCTCCACCTTGTTCCTTTACCTAACAAGAATGTTCTATATATAAGTCTACTTCCACCCTGTTCCTTTACCTAACAAGGATGTTCTATACATAAGTCTCACCCACCCTGTTCCTTTACCTAACAAGGATGTTCTATACATAAGTCTCCCACACCCTGTTCCTTTACCTAACAAGGATGTTCTATACTTAAGTCTACCTCCACCCTGTTTCTTTACCTAACAAGGATGTTCTATACATAAGTCTACCTCCACCCTGTTCCTTTACCTAACAAGGATGTTCTATACATAAGTCTACCTCCACCCTGTTCCTTTACCTAACAAGGATGTTCTATATATAAGTCTCCCCACCCTGTTCCTTTACCTAACAAGGATGTTCTATACATAAGTCTCCCCACCCTGTTCCTTTACCTAACAAGGATGTTCTATACATAAGTCTCTCCCACCCTGTTCCTTTACCTAACAAGAATGTTCTATATATAAGTCTCCCCACCCTGTTCCTTTACCTAACAAGGATGTTCTATACATAAGTCTCCCTCCAACCTGTTCCTTTACCTAACAAGGATGTTCTATACATAAGTCTTCCTCCACCCTGTTCCTTTACCTAACAAGGATGTTCTATATATAAGTCTCCCCACCCTGTTCCTTTACCTAACAAGAATGTTCTATATATAAGTCTCCCCACCCTGTTCCTTTACCTAACAAGGATGTTCTATACATAGTCTCCCACACCCTGTTCCTTTACCTAACAAGGATGTTCTATACATAAGTCTCCCTCCACCCTGTTCCTTTACCTAACAAGGATGTTCTATATATAAGTCTCCCCACCCTGTTCCTTTACCTAACAAGGATGTTCTATACATAAGTCTCCCCACCCTGTTCCTTTACCTAACAAGGATGTTCTATACATAAGTCTCTCCTATCCTGTTCCTTTACCTAACAAGGATGTTCTATATATAAGTCTTCCTCCACCCTGTTCCTTTACCTAACAAGGATGTTCTATACATAAGTCTCCCACACCCTGTTCCTTTACCTAACAAGGATGTTCTATACATAAGTCTCCCCACCCTGTTCCTTTACCTAACAAGGATGTTCTATACATAAGTCTCCCTCCACCCTGTTCCTTTACCTAACAAGGATGTTCTATATATAAGTCTACCTCCACCCTGTTCCTTTACCTAACAAGGATGTTCTATACATAAGTCTCCCACACCCTGTTCCTTTACCTAACAAGGATGTTCTATACATAAGTCTCCCACACCCTGTTCCTTTACCTAACAAGGATGTTCTATACATAAGTCTCCCTCCACCCTGTTCCTTTACCTATCAAGGATGTTCTATACATAAGTCTCCCTCCACCCTGTTCCTTTACCTAACAAGGATGTTCTATACATAAGTCTCCCTCCACCCTGTTCTTTTACCTTACAAGGATGTTCTATACATTAATTAAATATAAATATCTGTATTTACCTCCACACAGGTTCCCTCCAGAGTACGGACAGGAATAATCGTCACATTCACAATGTTCCCCGCTGTACCTCTGGGCTGAGTTCTGACTACGGGCAGCACATTCACATTTCCCACAAACACACTCACCACGGTTACTACAAACCAGGTTTGTGTTGTTTCTGAAGAAGGAAGAATTTTAAGGTATAGCACTGTCTGTATTGTCAATATATAACACATACTATGACAAAAGTAAAGATAAAGTGGGTATGCTTCATTGATCATCAAGTTTTTAGTGTACATATTATAAAGGACAAAAAACCCAAATAAAAAAAAAAACAAAAAAAGAATATTGTTTTTTAAAAATTACCTACCAAATATCAATTTCAAAAATAATAAAGAAATCCTGAAATTATCTACACATGAGGTCATGTTCTGGCATCAAATGCCATGTTCTGGCATCAAACGTCATGTTCTGGCATCAAAGGTCAAATGATGTAACCACAATGATTATAAATTGCATGCATGACATACATATATATAAAAAATTAATTTCTGGAAAGTTTTAAAATTGAATTTGTTTATATATTTGTTTATTTTATCAAATAAACAATATTCTATCTTACATATGAGATTTAAGTTTTCATTTGCATAACAAATATAATTTAATGAAGGATATGATTCCACAATTTCCTGAAATTTCCCATAGTTTAAATTATTCTCATTTATTTCCGATGGGTGTGATTTTATGAATTCAAACTATGACAATTTGTGGAAACTAATGTCATGAATTGATATGTCTATGAAATAACCATCAGATAAAAATTGACAAGGAACATGTTAACATAATAAGATGAAGAGTCTTACATGCACAATTTTTTTATACTGTTGCACTTAAAAGATTTGTGAACAGTAGTTCTAAGTAACACATCACCAATAAATAAAAACTATTTAACAATGAATGGCTGAACTGTACAGAACTTACTTGATACACTGGGACTGGATCTCTTCTGATGTAGCATTTCCAGCATCACAGTTACAAGTACGTCCATAGAATCCCGGGTTACACACACACATACCACACACATGGGTACCCTTAAAGCTACATTTGTCACTGTTCTGGTTCTGATCCTGTAATGATTTCAGTGTGGAATAAGTCTTGTCATCTTACAGTACACAAATAGGGCCATCTTACAGTACAAAGGGGGCCATCTTACAGTACAAAGGGGACCATCTTACAGTACAAAGGGGACCATCTTACAGTACAAAGGGGACCATCTTACAGTACAAAGGGGGCCATCTTACAGTACAAAGGGGGCCATCTTACAGTACAAAGGGGGCCATCTTACAGTACAAAGGGGACCAGTACAAAGGGGACCATCTTACAGTACAAAGGGGACCATCTTACAGTACAAAGGGGACCATCTTACAGTACAAAGGGGACCATCTTACAGTACAAAGGGGACCATCTTACAGTACAAAGGGGAACATCTTACAGTACAAATGGGACCATCTTACAGTACAAATGGGGCCATCTTACAGTACAAAGGGGACCATCTTACAGTACAAAGGGGACCGTCTTACAGTACAAATTGGACCGTCTTACAGTACAAAGGGGACCGTCTTACAGTACAAATTGGACCGTCTTACAGTACAAAGGGGACCATCTTACACACAGGTTCCAAAGTTCACACTGACATGGGACCATCTACAGTACAAAGGGGTAAGGGATCTTACAGTACAAAGGGGTACCAACAAGGATTACAGTACAAAGGGGACCACCCTCTTACAGTACAAAGGGGCCATCTTACAGTAATTAAATATAAATATCTTACAGTACAAAGGGGACCTCCAGAGTACAAAGTACAATGTACTATGGGGGCCATCTTACAGTACAAAGGGGGCATTTCATGGGTCCTCTATTCACACTGACATAAGAAGTCCGTACTTAGAGTACACAGTACAAGGGGACCATCTTACAGTACAAAGGGGAACATTCACAATGGGTACCTCTGGCTACAAAGGGGCAGCACATTCACATTTCCAGTACAAACACAAGGGGACCACTTACCTGTACAAATTGTTGTTACAGTGAAAAGAGGTAAGCATTGTCATTGTCAATATATAACATACATTAGATTGGGTATGGGAGACTCATTGACAGTAAAAGTGTCATTTATAACACAAAATTTACACAAAATAAAAAAAAACAGCAATTAAAAGGTATTCTCTTTTAAAATCTACAGATAAGTATCAAATGGGGCATCTTAAATAATCAAAGGCACAGATCTGTAAATTAAGGATCTAACCATTGGAAAATTCTGGTCTGTCAAAGGACAAGATCTACACATTTTACACTCAATACTGGACATCAACAGGTCAAAGGGTAACCAATCAGACACTTGTACAAACTGGATGTAACATCAATGGACAAGATTATGTTTTGTGTACTAAGGGCACAGACATACATCATATACCAATCACAAGTCTTGTTTTGTGTACACATCAAGGATAAAAATTAATCTTCTGTCACCAGGACACAAGTTTAAAATCAATTTGTTTATAAGATCTGTCACCAAGTTTGTTTATCAAGGATACCAAGGACAACATGGTTAACACATCACCTGTACAAGGACACAGATCAGAAGTTTGTCAAGGTTGTGTACTAAACATCAATCTTACATCACCTACAGTAACCACATCAATCTTTGTCACCAAGTGTACTAAGTGACATCAATGGTCACCTGTAACCAATCAGAAGTCTTGTTTTGTGTAAGGACACAGTGAACATCAATATTTGTGATGTTAAGTTCTACAATCAGAAGATCTGTCACCAAGGACACAATCTACACATAAAAATCTGTCACCAAGGACACATGTTTACATCAATAAGTGTACACAGATCTAAACATCAAGGATCTGTCACCAAGGACACAGTTCTACACATCAACGATCTGTCATCAAGGACACAGATCTAAACATCAAGGATCTGTCACCAAGGACATTTCATTTAATGGACACATCTAATCAAAGGATCTGTCACAGGACACAGATACATCAAGGTATGTCACCAAGGACACAGATCTCTCTGGACTGTAAACATCACCAAGGGCACAGTTCTACACATCAAACATTCACCAAGGACACGTCACCAAGGACACAGATCTACACATCAAGGATCTGTCACCAAGGACACAGTTCTACACATCAAAGATCTGTCACCAAGGACACAGTTCTACACATCAAAGATCTGTCACAAAGGACACAGATCTACACATCAAGGATCTGTCACCAAGGACACAGATCTACACATCAAGGAACTCTGTCACCAAGGACACAGTTCTACACATCAAAGACACAGATCTAAACATCAAGGATCTGTCACCAAGGGCACAGTTCTACACATCAAAGATCTGTCACCAAGGACACAGTTCTACACATCAAGGATCTGTCACCATGGACACAGATCTAAACATCAAGGATCTGTCACCAAGGACACAGTTCTACACATCAAGGATCTGTCACCAAGGACACAGATCTAAACATCAAGGATCTGTCACCAAGGACACAGATCTAAACATCAAGGATCTGTCACCAAGGACACAGATCTAAACATCAAGGACACAGATCTACACATCAAGTCACCAAGGACACAGATCTACACATCAAGGATCTGTCACCAAGGACTCAGTCTAAACATACACATCTGTCACCAAGGACACAGTTCTACACATCAAGGATCTGTCACCAAGGACACAGTTCTACACATCAAGGATCTGTCACCAAGGACACAGATCTAAACATCAAGGATCTGTCACCAAGGACACAGTTCTACACATCAAGGATCTGTCACCAAGGACTCAGTTCTACACATCAAAGATATGTCACCAAGGACACAGTTCTACACATCAAAGATCTGTCACCAAGGACACAGATCTACACATCAAGGATCTGTCACCAAGGACACAGATCTACACATCAAAGATCTGTCACCAAGGACACAGATCTACACATCAAGGATCTGTCACCAAGGACACAGATCTACACATCAAGGAACTCTGTCACCAAGGACACAGTTCTACACATCAAAGATCTGTCACCAAGGACACAGATCTACACATCAAGGAACTCTGTCACCAAGGACACAGTTCTACACATCAAAGATCTGTCATCAAGGACACAGATCTAAACATCAAGGATCTGTCACCAAGGACACAGTTCTACACATCAAAGATCTGTCACCAAGGACACAGATCAAAGATCTGTCACCAAGGACACAGATCTAAACATCAAGGATCTGTCACCAAGGACACAGATCTACACATCAAGGATCTGTCACCAAGGAAACAGTTCTACACATCAAGGGTCTGTCACCAAGGACACAGATCTACACATCAAGGATCTGTCACCACAGGACACAGGACACAGATCTACACATCAAGGATCTGTCACCAAGGACACAGTCTACACATCAAGGACTGTCACAAGGACACAGTACACATCAAGGATCTGTCACCAAGGACACAGTCTACACATCAAGGATCTGTCACAAGGACACAGTCTACACACACCAGATCTGTCACCAAGGACACAGATCTACACATCAAGGATCTGTCACCAAGGACACAGATCTACACATCAAGGATCTGTCACTGTCACATCAAGGACACAGATCTAAACATCAAGGATCTGTCACCAAGGACACAGTTCTACACATCAAGGATCTGTCACCAAGGACACAGTTCTACACATCAAGGATCTGTCACCAAGGACTCAGTTCTACACATCAAAGATATGTCACCAAGGCCACAGTTCTACACATCAAAGATCTGTCACCAAGGACACAGTTCTACACATCAAGGATCTGTCACCAAGGACACAGTTCTACACATCAAAGATATGTCACCAAGGCCACAGTTCTACACATCAAAGATCTGTCACCAAGGACACAGATCTAAACATCAAGGATCTGTCATCAAGGACACAGATCTAAACATCAAGGATCTGTCACCAAGGACATCAAACATCAAGGATCTGTCACCAAGGACACAGATCTAAACATCAAGGATCTGTCACCATGGACACAGATCTAAACATCAAGGGTCTGTCACCAAGGACACAGATCTACACATCAAGTCATCAAAGGACACAGTTCTACACATCAAAGATCTGTCACCAAGGACACAGATCTACACATCAAAAATCTGTCACAAAGGCCACAGTTCTACACATCAAAGATCTGTCACCAAGGACACAGATCTACAAATCAAGAAACTCTGTCACCAAGGACACAGTTCTACACATCAAAGATCTGTCACCAAGGACACAGATCTACACATCACACATCAAGGATCTGTCACCACAGATCTAAACATCAAGGATCTGTCACACACAGATCTACACATCAAGGATCAATCACCAAGGGCACAGATCTACACATCAAGGATCTATCACCAAGGAAACAGTTCTACACATCAAGGGTCTGTCACCAAGGACACAGATCTACACATCAAGGATCGGTCACCAAGGACACAGTTCTACACATCAAAGATCTGTCACCAAGGACACAGTTCTACACATCGAAGATCTGTCACCAAGGACACAGTTCTACACATCAAAGATCTGTCACCAAGGACACAGATCTAAACATCAAGGATCTGTCACCAAGGACACAGTTCTACACATCAAAGATCTGTCACCAACACAGATCTACACATCAAGACACAGGACACAGATCTACACAGTTCTACACATCAAAGATCTGTCACCAAGGACACAGTTCTACACATCAAAGATCTGTCACCAAGGACACAGATCTACACATCAAGGAACTCTGTCACCAAGGACACAGTTCTACACATCAAAGATCTGTCACCAAGGACACAGTTCTACACATCAAGGATCTGTCATCAAGGACACAGATCTAAACATCAAGGATCTGTCACCATGGACACAGATCTAAACATCAAGGATCTGTCACCAAGGACACAGATCTAAACATCAAGGATCTGTCACCAAGGACACAGATCTAAACATCAAAGATCTGTCACCATGGACACAGATCTAAACATCAAGGATATGTCACCAAGGACACAGATCTACACATCAAGGATCTGTCACCAAGGACACAGTTCTACACATCAAAGATCTGTCACCAAGGACACAGATCTACACATCAAAAATCTGTCACAAAGGACACAGATCTACACATCAAAGATCTGTCACCAAGGACACAGATCTACACATCAAGGATCTGTCATCTACACATCAAGGATCTGTCACACAAAAGATCTGGACACAGTTCTACACATCAAAGATCTGTCACCAAGGACACAGTTCTACACATCAAGGATCTGTCACCAAGGCCACAGTTCTACACATCAAAGATCTGTCACCAAGGACACAGATCTACAAATCAAGAAACTCTGTCACCAAGGACACAGTTCTACACATCAAAGATCTGTCACCAAGGACACAGATCTAACATCAAGATCTGTCACCAAGGACACAGGATCACAGGACACAGATCTACACATCAAAGGATCTGTCACCAAGGACACAGTTCTACACATCAAAGATCTGTCACCAAGGACACAGTTCTACACATCAAAGATCTGTCACAAAGGACACAGATCTACACATCAAGGATCTGTCACCGAGGACACAGATCTACACATCAAAGATCTGTCACCAAGGACACAGATCTACACATCAAAGATCTGTCATCAAGGACACAGATCTAAACATCAAGGATCTGTCACCAAGGGCACAGTTCTACACATCAAAGATCTGTCACCAAGGACACAGTTCTACACATCAAGGATCTGTCACCAAGGACACAGATCTAAACATCAAGGATCTGTCACCATGGACACAGATCTACTAAGGATCTGTCACATCTGTCAAAGGATCTGTCACCAAGGACACAGATCTACACATCAAGGATCTGTCACCAAGGACACAGATCTACACATCAAGGATCTGTCACCAAGGACACAGTCTACACATCAAAGGACACACAGATCTACACATCATCAAAGGACACAGTCACATCAAAGATCTGTCACCAAGGACACAGATCTACACATCAAGGATCTGTCATCAAGGACACAGATCTACACATCAAGGAACTCTGTCACCAAGGACACAGATCTAAACATCAAAGATCTGTCAACAACGACACAGATCTAAACATCTCTGTCACCAAGGACACAGATCTACACATCAAAAATCTGTCACAAAGGACACAGATCTACACATCAAAGATCTGTCACCAAGGACACAGATCTACACATCAAGGATCTGTCATCAAAGGACACAGTTCTACACATCAAAGATCTGTCACCAAGGACACAGTTCTACACATCAAGGATCTGTCACCAAGGACACAGTTCTACACATCAAAGATCTGTCACCAAGGACACAGATCTACACATCAACAGTCTGTCACCAAGGACACAAGGATCTGTCACCAAGGACACAGTTCTACACATCAAAGATCTGTCACCAAGGACACAGATCTAAACATCAAGGATCTGTCACCAAGGACACAGATCTAAACATCAAGGATCTGTCACCAAGGACACAGATCTAAACATCAAAGATCTGTCACCATGGACACAGATCTAAACATCAAGGATCTGTCACCAAGGACACAGATCTAAACTTCAAGGATCTGTCACCAAGGACACAGTTCTACACATCAAAGATCTGTCACCAAGGACACAGTTCTACACATCAAAGATCTGTCAAACATCAAGGATCTGTCACCAAGGACATAGACCTAAACATCAAGGATATGTCACCAAGGAACATGGTTCTATCTATCAAAATCAACTCTTGTCACAGTTAAACAAGGATAATCTTACCCTGTACATTTTGTGAAGAATTTGATATTCAGTCCCTCTGCATTCTCAGTTGTTAGTTCCAGTTTGGAAGTTATTTTCTGTGAAAAAATGTGAAAAAACAGTGATAAATAGTTGTAATGAAGCTGGCTGACTGGATGTTTCAATAAATCCTAAATTATGTTATGGTTCTTGTACACTGCACTTTTTCTGATCAAGTCTATGAAGTTTCATATTGATACCTCTTTGTTTTTGTAATATGCTCTGGAAAAATTATGACGGACGGACAGACAGACAAAGCGATGACTATATGCTCTCCCTTTGAGAAGCATGCGGTGGAATTACAAAAAATTAAGTATGTAAGTTTTAAAAAAATGTGTTTGGTTTTTGATACAAAAATAATGGGGAAATCTTAACCTATAAACAAAGACTGAACTGAATATAATAAACTCATACTTGACAGAAAGATTCAAACTAATACATGCTTACATCGTAATTTTGCTGAACAAGTGTAACAATATTGGAGGAATCATTGGCAAGTTCTCCTGTCACTGATCCCGCGATAAACTTCTCCAGCTGTTTATATGTCGGGAATTGATCCTTTGTTACGGCGAAGATGATGTTGGTGTTCTTATCTTTGATGTTAGCTGCAATCTGACTCACTGAAGGATAATCCTACAACACAAGACATTTCATTTACAGATTGGTAAAATTTTGTTGTTTTCAATGCTTTGAATACCAGAATCAATCGTCTCCGTTAGTACAACACAGGTAAACTATACAGGTAAACCTACACAGGTAAATATATACAGGTAAACCTACACAGGTAAATATATACAGGTAAACCTACACAGGTAAACTACACAGGTAAATCTACACATGTAAAACTACACAGCTAAACCTACACAGGTAAACCTACACAGATAAATATATACAGGTAAACCTACACAGGTAAACTATACAGGTAAACCTACACAGGAGAATATATACAGGTAAACATATACAGGTAAACTATACAAGTAAACCTATGCATGTAAACCTACACAGGTAAACCTACAGGTAAATCTACACATGTAAACCTACACAGGTAAACTACACAGGTAAACCTACACAGGAAAACCTACACAGGTAAACTACACAGGTAAATCTACACCGGAAACTACACAGGTAAACCTACACCGGAAACTACACTGGCAAACCTACAAAGGAAAATCTACCTGTCTCCTGGTATTACCATCTATACACAAGTATACATCACTGTCTCCTGTGATTTCCACCTGTAAGTAGGTAAACCTACCTGCTCAGTGCTCTTGGTGTATTCATTTGAAGTCATGTAACATTGGCCATCATTGGGTTTGACAATGCCTCCTAGCTGTTAACAGAAACATGTGATATTATTTTATATAAAAAAGTAGAATAGTGTTTACAATTATTACCAGTGATTCAAGCATAATTCCAAAAATTAAATCTCAAGGCACTTATTGGAAATAATCCTTGTGGATAAATCTGGACTGACAGAAAATATTTTAACCACATTTAAATCTTTTCAGAATATTACACCAGGAATTTACATAGAAATTATGCACTGGATATATGTTGATATTTTATATTTATTCCTATTCCATGTAAAAATCATAACACAAGTTAAAAAATGTTTGTAAATTATTTTTTTCTTATTCGAGGTAAACACCTCCACACAAGTTGTTAATATTGTATTTATATTAGTAATCATTGTGGCATGCTATCAAGTTAAGTATGTAAGTAGTACAACAGAGTAGCTTCCGCTTGAGTGAACGGTATTATAAGTAAAAGTAAACACAGGCAATCATGCTATGCCTTTGAGAAAATGTTACAGAAGTGGAATAGAGACTTATATGAAAACTCTGCCAAACACTTCCATCCTTTGTATATATAAATCTCTGAACAAGGCAAACCATGCAGGTCATAAAACAATTTCAGCCTAAAGAGACACAATCCTATACAGGCACCATCTTTCATAGGCTCTGCCTTGTACAGGCACAATCCTATACAGGCACCATCCTACAAAGGCTCTGCCTTATACAGGCACAATCCTTTACAGGCACCATCCTACGTAGGCTCTACCTTATACAGGCACAATCCTATACAGGCACCATCCTTCATAGGCTCCTTCATAGGCTCTACCTTATACAGGCACAATCCTATACAGGCACCATCCTACAAAGGCTCTACCTTATACAAGCACAATCCTATACAGGCACTATCCTACATAGGCTCTACCTTATACAGGCACAATCCTATACAGGCACCATCCTACATAGGCTCTACCTTATACAAGCACAGTTCTATACAGGCACCATCCTACATAGATTCTACCTTACACAAGCACAATCCTACATAGGCGCTACCTTATACAGGCACCATCCTACATAGGCTCTACCTTATCCAGGCACAATCCTATACAGGCACCATCCTACATAGGCTCTACCTTATACAGGCACAATCCTATACCGGCACCATCCTTCATAGGCTCTACCTTATACAGGCACAATCCTATACAGGCACCATCCTACAAAGGCTCTACCTTATACAAGCACAGTTCTATACAGGCACCATCCTACAAAGGCTCTACCTTATACAGGCACAGTTCTATACAGGCACCATCCTACAAAGGCTCTACCTTATACAGGCACAATCCTACATAGGCTCTACTTTACACAAGCACAATCCTACATAGGCTCTACTTTATACAGGCACAATCCTACGTAGGCTCTAACTTATACAGGCACCATCCTACATAGGCTCTACCTTATACAGGCACCATCCTACATAGGCTCTACCTTACACAAGCACAATCCTACTTAGGCTCTAACTTATACAGGCACAATTCTGTACAGGCACCATCCTACATAGTCTCTACCTTATACAGGCTTAATCCTGTACAGGCACCATCCTACATAGGCTCTACCTTATACAGGCAACATCCTACATAGTCTCTACCTTATACAGGCACAATCCTATACAGGCACCATCCTACATACGCTCTACCTTATACAGGCACATTTCTATACAGGCACCATCCTACATAGATACTACCATACACAGGCACAATCCTACATAGGCGCTACCTTATTCAGGCACCATCCTACATAGGCTCTGCCTTATACAGGCACCATCCTACATAGGCTCTGCCTTATGCAGGCACCAACCTACATAGGCTCTACCATATACAGGCACATTTCTATACAGGCACCATCCTACATAGGCTCTACCTTATACAAGCACAGTTCTATACAGGCACCATCCTACAAAGGCTCTACCTTATACAGGCACAATCCTACATAGGCTCTACTTTACACAAGCACAATCCTACATAGGCTCTACTTTATACAGGCACAATCCTACGTAGGCTCTAACTTATACATGCACCATCCTACATAGGCTCTACCTTATACAGGCACCATCCTACATAGGCTCTACCTTACACAAGCACAATCCTACTTAGGCTCTAACTTATACAAGTACCATCCTACATAGGCTCTACCTTATACAGGCACAATTCTGTACAGGCACCATCCTACATAGTCTCTACCTTATACAGGCTTAATCCTGTACAGGCACCATCCTACATAGGCTCTACCTTATACAGGCAACATCCTACATAGTCTCTACCTTATACAGGCACAATCCTATACAGGCACCATCCTACATACGCTCTACCTTATACAGGCACATTTCTATACAGGCACCATCCTACATAGATACTACCATACACAGGCACAATCCTACATAGGCGCTACCTTATACAGGCACCATCCTACATAGGCTCTGCCTTATACAGGCACCATCCTACATAGGCTCTACCATATACAGGTACATTTCTATACAGGCACCATCCTACATAGGCTCTACCTTATACAGGCACATTTCTATACAGGCACCATCCTACATAGGCTCTACCTTATACAGGCACATTTCTATACAGGCACCATCCTACATAGATACTACCATACACAGGCACAATCCTACATAGATACTACCATACACAGGCACAATCCTACATAGATACTACCATACACAGGCACAATCCTACATAGGCACTACCTTATACAGGCACCATCCAACATAGGCTCTACCTTATACAGGCACCATCCAACATAGGCTCTACCTTATACAGGCACCATCCAACATAGACTCTACCTTATACAGGTACAAACCTGTACAGGCTCTACCTTATACAGGCATTATCATATATAGGCACCATCTGACACATGCATCAACATCCTATATAGGCCTCACCAATACAAACACCTTCCTACGTAGGCTCTACCTTATACAGGTACAATCCTATACAGGCACCATCCTTCATAGGCTTTACCTTATACAGGCACCATCCTACATAGGCTCTACCTTATACAGGTACATCGTATACAGGCACCATCCTACACATGCATCAACATCCTACATAGGCCTCACCCAATACAAACACCTTCCTACATAGGCTCTACCTTATACAGGTACAATCCTATACAGGCACCATCCTACACAGGTGCAATCTTATGTAGGCACCATCCTACACAGGTGCAATCTTATATAGGCGCCATCCTATACCATTCCAACATGCAATCATTCTAAATCTACTTTGATGACCTTTGTGATTACTAGAGAGATTTAAGATGTGGTTTCTGACAATGCTATTGTTCCTCAATCAGGCAGATCATCACTGGGCAAACTGGAAACAATTTCTACCTTGAAATCTTCCTACCATACATATTTCAATATTTTTTATTCACACCGACCTTTCCATCACCAGCAAAATGAAAACTTGCGTCCGTGGAAAACAGAAGCATCCTACGAGATGAAGCTCTCCAACCAATGTCTTCCTGAAATTTTTGAGGCCAAAACATGTAATTATACCCAGAACAGGAACTACCAGAAGTGCAGGACCTCCCTAGTCCTCCCTGAAAGTCTGACAGTAAACACAACATCGCAGAATGCAGTAGCAAAGCAAGAATCAGTTCATCTTAAAAGTTAATAAAGCTGAAAAAGGTTTACTATGGCTGAAAAATCATAAGGCTGAAAAGGCAAGAAGTGGGTCAATCTAAAATTGATGAAGCTGAAAAATTGCACGAATTAGGTCAGATTATGATTAATAAGGCTGAAAAGGCAAGAAGTGGGTCATTCTAAAATTGATGAAGCTGAAAAATTGCTTGAATTAGGTCAGATTATGATTAATAAGGCTGAGTAAGCAAGGTCAGATTGTACATGCATGAACAGACTGAAAAGAAAGACAAAGCTTCAGCCAGACTATAATGATTAGATGGTAAAGAAAGACTGGGATCACAGGCTGTATGACATCACAGGCTGTATGACATCACAGGATGTATGGCCGAGGAGAATCAAGAGAACACAGGCTGTACGGCCGAGGAGAATCAAGAGATCACAGGATGTATGGCTGAGGCGAATCAAGAGATCACATGCTGTATGGTCGAGGAGAATCAAGAGATCACAGGCTGTATGACAGAGGAGAATCAAGAGATCACAGGCTGTATGACAGAGGAGAATCAAGAGATCACAGGATGTATGGCCGAGGAGAATCAAGAGATCACAGGCTGTATGATATCACAGGATGTATGACATCACAGGATGTATGACAGAGAAGAATCAAGAGATCACAGGATGTATGACAGAGAAGAATCAAGAGATCACAGGCTGTATGACAGAGAAGAATCAAGAGATCACAGGATGTATGACAGAGAATAATCAAGAGATCACAGGATGTATGGCCGAGGAGAATCAAGAGATCACAGGATGTATGGCCGAGGAGAATTAAGAGATCACAGGCTGTATGATATCACGGGATGTATGACATCACAGGCTGTATGACAGAGAAGAATCAAGAGATCACAGGATGTATGGCCGAGGAGAATCAAGAGATCACAGGATGTATGGCCGAGGAGAATTAAGAGATCATAGGCTGTATGATATCACGGGCTGTATGACAGAGAAGAATCAAGAGATCACAGGATGTATGGCCGAGGAGAATCAAGAGATCACAGGATGTATGGCCGAGGAGAATTAAGGGATCATAGGCTGTATGATATCACGGGCTGTATGACAGAGAAGAATCAAGAGATCACAGGATGTATGGCCGAGGAGAATCAAGAGATCACAGGATGTATGGCCAAGGAGAATCAAGAGATCACAGGCTGTATGACAGAGGAGAATCGAGAGATCACAGGCTGTATGACAGAGAAGAATCAAGAGATCACAGGCTGTATGGCCGAGGAGAATCAAGAGATCACAGGCTGTATGATATCACAGGCTGTATGACAGAGAAGAATCAAGAGATCACAGGATGTATGGCCGAGAAGAATCAAGAGATCACAGGCTGTATGACAGAGAAGAATCAAGAGATCACAGGATGTATGGCCGAGAAGAATCAAGAGATCACAGGCTGTATGACAGAGAAGAATCAAGAGATCACAGGCTGTATGACAGAGAAGAATAAAAAAATCACAGGCTGTATGACTGAGAAGAATCAAGAGATCACAGGCTGTATGACAGAGAAGAATCAAGAGATCACAGGCTGTATGGCCGAGGAGAATCAAGAGATCACAGGCTGTATGATATCACAGGCTGTATGACAGAGAAGAATCAAGAGATCACAGGATGTATGGCCGAGAAGAATCAAGAGATCACAGGCTGTATGACAGAGAAGAATCAAGAGATCACAGGCTGTATGACAGAGAAGAATAAAAAAATCACAGGCTGTATGACTGAGAAGAATCAAGAGATCACAGGCTGTATGACAGAGAAGAATCAAGAGATCACAGGCTGTATGACAGAGTAAGATCTGTTTCATCTTTGAGGAGAATAGGACACAAACTGGATTAAACAAACAGAACAGAGAAACCCAGATTACTATTACCTACTATGTCAAGGAAGAATCAAAAGATATCATAGCAAAAGGTTTTTTTAAGAGGGAGGTTAAAGCTGGAAAGCAAACTCATAAAAGAAATTAACTTGTCAAATCTGCAATCATGTGACCAGCGTCTACCTAAATCATGTGACAAGCATTTACCCAAGTCATGTGACTGTTGTCTACTCAAGTCATGTGACTGTTGTCTACCCAAGTCATGTGACTGTTGTCTATACTTAATTTTAAAATAAGATGGATTTTAACAGAATTGTGATCACTTTAAGACAAGTAGGCTGATTGCAGAGTTGACTGAAGTTAACTTTGTTACACATGTTGAGGGGTTATATATGTTAGTCTACTACACACGCTGACACAGGTCAACGCCTCCTTGTGGCCAGTCAGGGGAGACAAACCTTTCCATCCCCTGCATAGTGAAAGTTGGCATCAGTAGAGAAGAGTAACATACGTCGTGAGGCTGCTCTCCATCCAATCTCCTCCTATATCATTACAGTGTCAGTGTTCATTCTTGATCAAACATGTACCAAATATCTAAAGCAAACTTAGCTTAAAAGGCGCAATTTTTGATGATTTGAAATAGAAAATCATTCATATAAATAGACAAATTCTGTAAGACATGAATGCCTCTCCAATGCATAATTGTGTAATTGCAGAAATTGACTATTGTGTCCTTTGACCCTTTTTATTTTCATCAATTACTTCATTAATGTGATATGATATAGAACTATCAGTTGTGAAATTGATTAAGAACAGAACATGGTAGCACTATAAAGCAGTATTCCCCTGGATGTCAGAAATAGGGGGTAGAGTGTACCCATAACATTGTATTTATGTAGCAGATTGGTTGAAAACCAGGGGTAAAAGTCTTAAATTTCATCAATTTGGGGGCTTTTGTACCCTCATTTGGGGGTAATGTGGAACGTGTAAAGTATCCCTAAAAGAGGAAAACTTGAAAATAAAGAATCACTTACTGACTTAAAAAATGTGCATGTTCCTTAATAAATTTTCCCCAACATTTCTGAGAAAATATATCAAATAATATTGGTGTAAGATAAGAATGCTGAAAGACAAAATTTTAAAGTCATGATATGTTTACCTTTCCTCCAGTACTTGTGATCATTACTAAACAATGGAGTAGTAGACCAGTCTGTATTTCACTTATAGAACCTCATAATTCTACCATACCAAATCTAGAGGTCTGATAATGCTGAGGTAAAACTTTCTCTACAGGTCTGGTAATACTGAGGTAAAACTTTCTCCAGATGTCCAGTAATACTGAGGTAAAACTTTCTCTAGATTTTCAACATCTACCAAACACAGGTCCGGTAATACTGGGTATAAACTTTTTCTAGATTGTCAACAAAGTCATTTAATCCCTTCTGGGTTTCCAGATATCAAAAACATAATGGATGGCCATACTTATTTAACATTTATAACAAACAAAACAATTTACGTGTATATTACAGAACAAATTTCTTCTTTTCTTTAAATGGCTTGATTTGATCCAATTAGAATGTGAGTTCATATTTGCCAAACATTTGACAATGAAAACATCTAACTTCAACCTTTAAATAATGTAAGAGCTACTTACTTCACACACAAGACTCTGCATGATGGCATCAAACCCTCCTTCTGGAGCATCTAGATTACCGGAGACCTTCGCAGCTCGTACTTCAGTCTAACCATAGACAGTGATAAACAAAGGCAGTTAGTATTTCATGAGAAAATGTACAGAAAAATGAATCTTGGTGTAAAACAGTTGTAAGGCTGTATTTTAAACAGGAACAACTGAAATTGTGATGTATCAATGATAGCAAATTGTCAACATATAAAAGGACGGAAACAGGAGAAAACAATGGTCATGAGACAATATTTACAGCAGTTTTTATGTCTGTTGATTAACACTACACAACTCTGAAATTTAAAAGATATCCTTACACAGCATTAAATCACTTCTTTATCAAACCTTTCACCAAGAACTTAATCAAATTACACCAAAATATTTCTTGTTTTTGTGGAAATGTAAACGTTCTTTATCGAATCTTTCACCAAGAACTTAATAACATCAAAATATAAATTTTTGTAAGAACTGTCTTCACGGACTCTTGAATCACCTTGGGGAACCAATAGTGACATTTAGTTATGTTTTATTTCTGTGGTAACTGTAAGTTTATATGTTAAGACACACCATTCAACTGCTCAGGAATATAAACAAATACAATGATGTTCAAAATGTATAAATGTATACTGAAGGTAATATTTACAGAAACTGATGTATAAATCAAAAACATACTGCAAATCTGTCCGTGTCCTTATCCAGTTTGAGCTGATTCTTAAAACCATATGGAGGGTCACAACCTGAACATGGACTGCTGAGTCTGAAAATAGATATACCAGCCATATAGTATTCTGTTATCACAAGGACAGAATCATAACTAAACAAAACAAAATCAATGCAATTCTAAACATTACTATACCTTGATGAAGATTGAACCATGTAACTCAGAAATTCTCTTCTACGCTTCATCAAAAAGATGTTTTAATGACAGTGTATTGTATCTTAGATTTACAGAGAAATTTACTCCTTATAAGTAGTCCCAATATTTACATATGATAAATTAGTCCCAACATTTACAGTGTATTCCCAATATTTAAATACGATAAATGTAATCCCAATATTTACATAAGATAAATATAGTAGTCCTAAAATATCACTGTGAAGTAGCTAGCTTGTCTAGTTTAAAGAATTAATGAGACTATAATTTGTTAAAAATGAAGAGGACTGTTATTTACAGGTGTAAGGGAAGGTGTATAGGTATATCATGTAGAGAGGGATACAAGATATATACAAGGGGATCAATCACTATATAATACACAGGATACAGCTTACAAACAGGGTCGGGTGTGGGTTCACTGTATAGGACTACAGCTTACAAACAGGGTCGGGTGTGGGTTCACTGTATAGGACTACAGCTTACAAACAGGGTGGGGTGGTCACTGTATAGGACTACAGCTTACAAACAGGGTCGGGTGTGGGTTCACTGTATAGGACTACAGCTTACAAACAGGGTCGGGTGTGGGTTCACTGTATAGGACTACAGCTTACAAACAGGGTGGGGTGTGGGTTCACTGTATAGGACTACAGCTTACAAACAGGGTGGGGGTTCACTGTATAGGACTACAGCTTACAAACAGGGTCGGGTGTGGGTTCACTGTATAGGACTACAGCTTACAAACAGGGTGGGGTGGGGGTTCACTGTATAGGACTACAGCTTACAAACAGGGTCGGGTGTGGGTTCACTGTATAGGACTACAGCTTACAAACAGGGTGGGGTGGGGGTTCACTGTATAGGACTACAGCTTACAAACAGGGTCGGGTGTGGGTTCACTGTATAGGACTACAGCTTACAAACAGGGTCGGGTGTGGGTTCACTGTATAGGACTACAGCTTACAAACAGGGTCGGGTGTGGGTTCACTGTATAGGACTACAGCTTACAAACAGGGTCGGGTGTGGGTTCACTGTATAGGACTACAGCTTACAAACAGGGTGGGGTGTGGGTTCACTGTATAGGACTACAGCTTACAAACAGGGTGGGGGTTCACTGTATAGGGCTGCAGTTTACAAACAAATGGTGGGTGGTGGAGTGGGGGTTCACTGTATAGGACTACAGCTTACATACAGGGTGGGTGGAAGGGTGGGGGCGATCTCACTATATATATAGGGCTACAGCTTACAAACAGGGTCGGGTGTGGGTTCACTGTATAGGACTACAGCTTACAAACAGGGTCGGGTGTGGGTTCACTGTATAGGACTACAGCTTACAAACAGGGTGGGGTGGGGGTTCACTGTATAGGACTACAGCTTACAAACAGGGTCGGGTGTGGGTTCACTGTATAGGACTACAGCTTACAAACAGGGTGGGGTGTGGGTTCACTGTATAGGACTACAGCTTACAAACAGGGTGGGGGTTCACTGTATAGGGCTGCAGTTTACAAACAAATGGTGGGTGGTGGAGTGGGGGTTCACTGTATAGGACTACAGCTTACAAACAGGGTGGGTGGAAGGGTGGGGGCGATCTCACTATATATATAGGGCTACAGCTTACATACAAGAGATGGGTGGTGGGGTGGAGGTGATCTCACTATATATATAGGGCTACAGCTTACATACAAGAGATGGGTGGTGGGGTGGGGGTGATCTCACTATATATATAGGGCTACAGCTTACATACAAGAGATGGGTGGTGGGGTGGGGGTTCACAGTATAGGGCTACAGTTTACATACAAGAGATGGGTGGTGGGGTGGAGGTGATCTCACTATATATATAGGGCTACAGCTTACATACAAGAGATGGGTGGAGGGGTGGGGGCGATCTCACTATATATATAGGGCTACAGTTTACATACAAGAGATGGGTGTCGGGGTGGGGGCGATCTCACTATATATATAGGGCTACAGTTTACATACAAGAGATTGGTGGTGGGATGAGGGTGATCTCACTATATATATAGGGCTACAGTTTACATACAGGATGTAGGTGGTGGGGGTGATCTCACTTTATATAGGGCTACAGTTTACATAAAAGAGATGGGTGGTGGGGTGAGGGTGATTACACTATATATATAGGGCTACAGCTTACATACAAGAGATGGGTGGTGTGGTGGGGGTGATTACACTATATATATAGGGCTACAGCTTACATACAAGAGATGGGTGGTGGGGTGGAGGCGATCTCACTATATATATAGGGCTACAGCTTACATACAAGAGATGGGTGGTGTGGTGGGGGTTCACAGTATAGGGCTACAGTTTACATACAAGAGATGGGTGGTGAGGTGGAGGCGATCTCACTATATATATAGGGCTACAGCTTACATTCAAGAGATGGGTGGTGGGGTAGGGGTTCACAGTATAGGGCTACAGTTTACATACAAGAGATGGGTGGTGGGATGAGGGTGATCTCACTATATATATAGGGCTACAGCTTACATACAATAGATGGGTGGTGGGGTGGGGGTTCACTGTATAGGGCTACAGTTTACAAACATGAGGTGGGTGGAGGTGTGGGGGTGATCTCACTATATATATAGAGCTACAGTTTACATACAAGATGTAGGTGGTGGGGGTGATCTCACTTTATATAGGGCTACAGTTTACATAAAAGAGATGGGTGGTGGGGTGGGGGTGATCTCACTATATATATAGGGCTACATCTTACATACAAGAGGTGGGTGGTGGGTTGGGGGTGATCTCACTATATATATAGGGCTACAGTTTACATACAAGAGGTGGGTGGTGGGTTGGGGGTGATCTCACTATATATATAGGGCTACAGCTTACATACAAGAGATGGGTGGTGGGGTGGGGGTTCACAGTATAGGGCTACAGTTTACAAACAGGGTGGGTGGTGTGGTGGGGGTTCACTGTATAGAGCTACAGTTTACATACATGAGGTGGGTGGAGTTGTGGGGGCGATCTCACTATATATATAGGGCTACAGTTTACATACAAGAGATGGGTGGTGGGATGGGGGTGATCTCACTATATATATAGAGCTACAGTTTACATACAAGAGATGGGTGGTGGGGTGGGGGTGATCTCACTATATATATAGGGCTACAGCTTACATACAAGAGATGGGTGGTGTGGTGGGGGTTCACAGTATAGGTCTACAGTTTACATACAAGAGATGGGTGGTGAGGTGGAGGCGATCTCAGTATATATATAGGGCTACAGCTTACATACAAGAGGTGGGTGGTGGGGTGGGGGTGATCTCACTATATATATAGGGCTACAGCTTACATACAAGAGGTGGGTGGTGGGGTGGGGGCGATCTCACTATATATATAGGGCTACAGCTAACATACAAGAGATGGGTGGTGGGGTGGGGGTTCACAGTATAGGGCAACAGTTTACATACAAGAGATGGGTGGTGGGATGGGGGTCATCTCACTATATATGTAGGGCTACAGCTTACATACAAGAGATGGGTGGAGGGGTCGGGATTCACTGTATAGGATTACAGCTTACAAACAGGGTGGGTGGCGGGGTGGGGGTTCACTGTATAGGGCTACAGTTTACATACATGAGGTGGGTGGAGGTGTGGGGGTGATCTCACTATATATATAGGGCTACAGTTTACATACAAGATGTAGGTGGTGGGGGTGATCTAACTATATATATAGGGCTACAGTTTACATACAAGATGTAGGTGGTGGGGGTGATCTCACTTTATATAGGGCAACAGTTTACATACAAGAGATGGGTGGTGGGGTGGGGGCGATCTCACTATATATATAGGGCTACAGCTTATATACAAGAGTTGGGTGGTAAGGTGTGGGCGATTTCACTATATATATATATATATATATATATATATATATATATAGGACTACAGTTTGCATACAAGAGATTGGTGGTGGGGTGGAGGCAATCTCAGTATATATTTATAGGGCTACAGTTTACATACAAGAGATTGGTGGTGGGGTGGGGGCGATCTCACTATATATATAGGGCTACAGTTTACATACAAGGGTGATTGGTGGGGTGGGGGCGATCTCACTATATATATAGGGTGACAGTTTACATACAAGGGTTGAACGGAAGGGGTCACTATAATGAGCTATAACTATCTTATACTATATCTGTCACAGAATCTGCCAACTATACAAACAGTCAATATTTTATTATTACATCTCATGCTATAGCTTTGGAACAGAAGCTGAACTTATCATCATTCTTAATACATCTCATGCTTCTCATCACCAGCTGGACTTGAATTGATCTAAACATGACCCCATGCACTACCCTGACATTCTAATGCTTTAGTTGTCAGGCTATTGCCATGCATTCTCATGCATTACTGAAACATTTGGTTTACCAAAATATATTGTCAGATTTATGTCAAACAAACAAATCTAACAAATAATACCTCATGCAGCATCATGTCCTTGGCTATCACATACACTTTTATACAGTGCTACTCTTTTACAATATACAATTTATCTAACATTACTGTATTTTTAAACCAGAAAATTTCTCTAATAGAGTTAATTAAACATCATTATATTTTGTATAATCTTTTCGTACATTGAAATTGTGTTTATTGTATTATATGTAGTAATTCTGTATATATTATTTCCAGAAATTATACATTATTTAGTAAAATAAGTATATACATATAACGTTATTTTGTAAAATAAGCATTCAATATTATTAAGAAGAGAATGTATGTATCATTATTTTGTAAAATGTTAATTCTCAGTCATAATTTAGAAAATAATTCATATAGCATTTTTTTTTAGTAAAATGGTAATTATAAATGATTATTTAGAAAAGAATTTACAGAATAATTCAAACACACACAGAAATAATGA